TAGGAAAGTTTCAGGAATGAACTTCCAATAAGAAATTTAGAGGTATTTAGAAGCAGAGACCGTTAGAGACAGGCAATTGAGGAAATAAATAGTTTGACTAACTTATAATTATCTTTCTAATAAACAATTTCTGAAGTGACATTAATCTTTCATTAATCTCGACAACAACAAAAGAAAACAGCAGATATGGCTCCCAATTCATGTTTTTAATCATTTAACATTGACCCACTACTATTATTTTGAGCACAGCTGTAATCGTTTGCCACAAACGAAACAGTAGTTACAGATACAGTTTTTATATTGTTACCTGTATAAATTTAACGGATAACTTGCTATTAGCCATGCGTCGGGCGATTTGTTTTCAATTAGCCAAGGAAGTTGTGTTCTTTTTTTTGCCGCGGGGAAAAAGAGCAAGAACGTGGCTCAAAATGCGGAAAATAGTCGGCATATCGATTTTTACTACCTCACTTCTTTGCGGTTCCGTCTGCCTCATTCATATTTATACTTATTCTAACCCGTTGCCTTCTACGGACTCCAATCCATTACCATTTCTTTTTTGTTATCTTCTTTTGGATATATTATGCCATCGATTCGTTTTATTTGGTTTATGGTTTTTTGTTGATTGATTCTTTTGCTATGCTCCCTAATTTCTTCACTTTTAAGCTTAGAAAAAGAGAAAGAACAGGTCAAAAAACTAGAACTTTGAAAAATACTTCTGAATAATTTGAATATCAAAAAAAAGTAATATTATGTTTATTACGTATACAAAATTATTAGGAATTCACATTTTTGTAGGTGCTTGTTGATCTATTTATCTATTATTCTGTCTTTCGTTACCTCTTTGAGTTGTTTTATAACTGTTTTCTAAGAGATAAACCCCATATATTTTCGCAACTCTATTAATGAGTACAACCAACCTCCATATCTCCTGTATATGCATATTTATCGTTTGAATGGACTTATATGGTTTCTAAAAAAAAACTACGCACGTCACTTCCGAAGACTTTGAAGGGTGCAAAGTACCACATTGGATCCCCCAATCGAATGTCGAACGTACAGGTGCCATCTTCTGAGCCATTAGAGCCATAGCAGGGGTACGTGATAACTGGCATTCATATGGGGGCACATACCACCTACATATGGTATATGTCTGTCGCATATACTGGTGAACCGGAGTATCGGACATTGCAGAGCGAAGCGGCCTAATCAAGTGGCTCAAATTGCCGCACAAATTGAAATAGATAATGGCCCGCAAGTGACAGCGGCGACATAACGACGACGACTACGACTTAGCATATTCGGGATTAGTCATGCGTATCACTCGCCTGATAACTCACAGCAAACCAAACAGAAACAAAAAAGAACAGATAAAGTGGTCGCAAAACAGGCAAAACGGTGACTCGAGAATGTCATTCCACAGGTGTTTCTGGCTATATCGACTTACCAGTCCAAGGAAAATTAGCATAGCCGACTAGTTAGATGGGTGATGATTTTCGAGAAACAATGATGAGCACCACCAATAAAAAATTCCCTCACGTCGGTTATCCACCATGATATCATCGTCTATCTTTGGCGCAACCTCAAGTCGAATCACTGAATGCAATGCCGAACTTCAATGTCAGTGTCATCCATTGAACAACGAATACGAAACATCTATATATTTAAGTCCATGATGGAGCGATCCCCCGACATTCCGGCATTCCCAATAATCATATCCGAAGCCACAGAGCTGTGCCATTAATCATCTTCTATTTGCACTTCTGATTCGCCTTATTTAAACATGGAGCGGTACTTGAGCCCCCCCAAAATAATGCCTCCATTTATTTAGGCACATGTGTAACGGTAGAAAGTTGCCAATTTTAAGTGTACACATAACGGTGATACTTCTCCAAATGACTGAAGACATTAGCCGTGAAATTAGCATTCGATTATGGGAGTCTTAGTTTTTGCCTGGGTTATCTAACCCCCCGTTTGTAGAACGATAAAGATCCAAATGGGGAGGGCTTTTATGGGTTCTATTCAGAACTTAAGCTAAGATTCACTTGATTTATTCCGATCCATAAATATATAATTGGTGGTAGCTTTTAATAGTTATAATAAAATCTTTGGCATAAAACTAACTAGTAAGATAAGTCATAATTAAATAATGATGTGGTTTTAAGTGTGTTTAGAACTCTAAAGATTTATAGTGGTTTTTGGTATTAAAATAAGTTTGTGGTTTTTGCGCAGGAAAATATATTAGGTAGGTCAACAACCTTTGCTAACTCAATAAACTTCAAATATGTATTATTGGAAATCGAGTGAGAAATAATTATAATATATACATATTATAATATATTGCACAATCATTTGTTTTTAAAAGTTATTCTAATAGAATGATTAATTTACATAAAACCTTTCCCTTGAGATTCACAATTTCAAAGCCAAAGATATAGCTAACTCGTGAGGCCTCAATGTTGCTGATCAATCAAGTTCACAAAACGATAAGTGGTGATCTGATTTCGCCAAGTTTTAAAGACCTTGTTTCGGAACGATCGATTTGATAAACGTCGGAATGGGAATCGCTCTGAATCGTTCGTACTTCACGTTGTATGGAATATCACTCGTTGTTTGTCTGTTAACTGGGCTACTCGTGTGAGAAGTGAAAATCGATAGAGGGTTACTTAACCATCTCCAGTTCAAAACACACAGACCCACAACACACGGTGCCAAAGCAAATAGTTCAATTACGTCTGATTGTTCAGCTGCATTTAGTAGCAGTTGGCTCTGATTCATCGTTATTCAAGTACTGAACGGCAATATATATAGATAATCGAGGGCTTATACATGGCTATCAATTTGAGCGCACTTATAAAGATATTTCCATAAGAAACGTATATATCCCAACAATATAATGGCGATAGGCAAAGTATAAAGTTCATAGACCATCCGAGAGCAATTTAATTTTTATTTCAATTAGCCGGTTCACAAAGGCCCCCAAACACTTAACGCTATTAGCCAAGCTCATTATTTTTTGGCAACACCGCACAACCACACACATGCCATGTTTATGGAACGTGATGATTTAAGGCGAAAACCAAAATAAAAAACTTTTTCATCGTCGCCTCTTGATAGCTGAGGAATTTTGACTTACTCATGTTTATTTCAAGGGGAACTTTAGTGACTGACTATAAAAGCCTTTGGGGCAAAACAAAAACAACGCCGTATTGATAACCCAAAACAGGTTAGAAGAGTTTGCTAAACCGACTGGGAAATACCCATGGGATAGACATATGGGATCAATGGAAACATAACGACTGTTTTAATGAATGATTAACAGGCGATATGAACATTGCCTATTTTATCTGGGAGAAATGGCAGACACTCAATCGAAATAACATGTATTATTTAGGGTACTCTTATTTCTCAAAGATCTCAAAAACCCATGGGACATTGATCGATGTGACGACTTCATATTGAGTTTTATATCTAATTAGGCTGCCTAATAGTTGGGCTAATTAGTCGGGGCTGCTCATTAAAAAGTAAACACAAATCGATTCGCCACAGGCAATCACGAATAAACATACAGTTCGGTTCATCGGCGTAAGTCAATTGTGGTTTAGCGGATATACTGCCTCAAATTAAAGACTTAACTAAAATCTTATTTGTAAGCTAATAAAACACAATAAGTAAATATGTATATAACACGTAGATTTGAAAACTTTTTAATACAAGTGTGTATATACAACCATCAAGTTGAACGAGTTTTATTCTGAATTCAATTATCGCCATTTAGTGTCATTAAGTCTTTCCTATTTGTCGTTCAAAAGGTTATTTACTGAATTGATTTATAAATTAAGGGAAACCATGCACTTCCTGTGGGAATTACTTGCGATTAACCTTACTGATTTGTAATGCGCTGTACGCCTAATTAAACTGTATATACGTACGGATACAGCAAAAATAATGATTAATTGCAGTTCATTTAACAATTTTATATTTTTGTAATGTTTTTTGTGAGTTTTTATTAAGCTCTGCTATTGGTAAACGTTTGCTGAAAACAATTTGAAACTTTATCAACACGAAATATTCAATGCATTAAATAATAAGTTTAATTAATAAAACTATAAGTTTAAGGGAATATTTTATATTTAATAGAACGACTTTTAAATAATGTTTCATGATGATTTTTAATAGAAAATGTTCATCTAATGCAGTTAAAATATTATTTAGTTAAATATCAATTGTTTGTGAGGATGTTTGTGTATTTTTTTGCTGTGTACAAACAATAGAACAAGTTGGTGCTGCAACAATTGCCCGTAATTTGCATGGTCGTACACTCACACCGCTGCACCACCTAACTATGTCATTAGAATTTACTACTGAGTAAACAGAGACACGCCCCCTGCCATCCACCGCCCCCTTTTTTCCTATCTTGCATATATGTAAAGATGTACGTGTGTGGAAGTCGCCTTCGCGATTTGCATTGTGTGCAAATGAATCGCACGCGACAAAAAACGCCCGCAAGTCGCGCGCTTCCCATTGCCGCCGCCGATTTCGATTTTCTTGGGCTTATCGCTTGCTACTTCGTTGGTATTTGTGTGTAGGTGTGAGCCATTAAACAACCTGGCCGACAATTAAGCACTAAGCCAGGCGCAAAAGGCAAATAGCAACGGAAAATACAAAATTAATTAAAAAAGCAAATACGTAACCAACTTAATCCATCAAGTCGACTTTGAAACATACTTTAGAAATCGAAATTACCGTATTTTTTGGGGCAACCAACATAGCTCTTTTCTTTGGGAGATGGTATTATGGATGTGAACCCGACAAGAGGAAAGAATCGTATGTGTGTATGGAGGCAATGATAAAGAGCCAAAAGGAATGCCCACCACCACCATCAGCTATCACCCCCCCTCCATCATCCTTATCGACCTGAAAACTGAAAGCTGATAAGACGGAGCGTCTTTTGTAATCGTGCCGCTTTTAACTCACTTTCATACCTTTTTTTCCACTTGCAGATTTCGCAGCGCACAAATCACACGCCATTTTCTAGCATGCTCTAGGAATATTACGAAACCCATCCGAAAATTTAAGGCGAACGCAAAACTGCACAAGTTGAGACACGTTTGAAACGGAAACGGAAGTTGGTGCAGGAGGAAGGAGCGGAGAACGAGTGAGAGAGAGAGAAGAAAACATTTCGGAAGCCACGCCCACAACATGAGCAACATGAAGGGCGGCTTCTCCACACTGAATCGCTGGTTTGGCCGCAAAAAAGGTAAGCAATCAAAAGGTCAAAACAAAACATACAACTTTCTCAGCAATAAATTTAATTGGACCCCACTAAAAGTACCCAACCTTTCTAATAAATGTTTAATTATGCTTTTCTATTATCTATTTTATCTTTTATTATTAACAACCTGTAATCAATTCTTCCTGAATGAGCATTTGCGGTTAAAATATTTCAATAGTAAATAATAAACTTCATATTTCGGATACCTATTGTTTTTTAAGACACTAGGCTTTACTTCATTAAACTCCCTTATTCCAACTATTAAATCAATCTCCCTTTCTATCTCCCAGACAAATCCGGCACTGGCAGCTCCTCGATGGGCAAGCTGTCCAAGTCGTCGACTCAGCTGCATCATCTGTCCACGGACACGGACATCAACGAGACTAGTCAGCTGGAGTACAATCGGATAACACCAGTGCCGGCGGCCACCAGCAATGCGCCCTTCGAGCAGACCTTCCGCATCACCGTCCTGCTGCCCAAGGATCAGCTTTTTGTGGCCCGATTGGGAGCCAGGGTTCCCCTGAGCAAGCTCCTTTCGCTTGTCTGCGACAACAAGCAACTGGATGCGGAGAAGTACGAGTTTCGGAGTCCAGGTAAAGGGGCCAAAGAAAAGCTAGAAAAGGTTTTCACTTTCGATTTGAGTTTGGAAATGTCATTTCACAACGCTTATCCTTGTCCGTAACAAAACCTTGTTGATCTGCTTGTCCGGCTAAGAGAACTGTCCGCTGCAGAGAGCTTTGCGTAGTATCTTGGCTTTGAGAGCTCTAAGAAAACTAAACTTGAGACTATAATATCTGAGAAAGTGAACTCCAGAGAAGCGTTTCTTCTTTAAAAAGGGTGCTCCTATTAACCAGTTTTCCTCTACATTTCAGTGGATGCTAGTCAGGTGTACAGCTGCGAATCGACGATCGGAGCAGTTGGCCTTTCGGAGATCCGCTTGTGCCACAAGTCGGAGTCCTACGACAACTTCAATCCGGATGTGATGCACAAATTTCAACGCACCGGAGTCGCTCGGGATTCGTTGAGCAGCAGCTCGGACTTCAGTAGCAGCCGGCACTCGAAGGTTACGGCCAAAACGCCAAGTCCTTACAGTTCCAGCAACTCACTGAACTCGATGGACTCCACGGGGATGAACTACACCCGTACCCCGGTGGTGGTGCCTCCGGCAAAGATATTGGCACCACCGCCGCGCAAAAAGCGAACGGCTCCGAGGCCACCAAGCCAGATTTGTATTCCGGAGCAGTCGGTTCCGGATATTCCGGCAGCTAACTTGAAAAGCGAGCCCGCCTATGCGGTGATTGTCAAGCGCCCTCAGCTCTGCATGTCCACGCCAAATCTCTCCGGTCCTCCGGAGGTGGACTGCAATGGCAATAGCTCAAAGTCTCCGGATGATGACTCCGTTGATGGTCATTATGCCACGTTGGATCTGAAGCCTCCGGTTGCAGGCGGTCCGGAACCCACGCCCCGGAAACGATTGCTGCAAATTAAAAAGAAAACAGCACCGGCTCCACCGCCAGATTTCCAAAGTGGTGGTGATAATGTATCACTGGCTTCGCTTCCGGAACCGGTAACACCAACTCCGAATGTACCGCAACCAGCTCCCAGGATTACAACACCTCTGCCCATTGCTCCGGCCACCAATCCTCCACTGCCCCAAATCAATGGGAATGTGAATGGAAATGGAAATGGATCACCACCAACCAACGGAAATGTGTCCAAAGTGCTTCTAAATAGAACTCCCACCCCGGAACCCCGATCTTTGGGCAGTGCCACCGAGGATGATGACAACGACACGGCTTCGAAGCAAGCGGATTCGGGCATTGGAGAGCCAGCACCATCGCCCTCGGCCTCGCCAGAACCAGAGGCGGAGAAATCGCAACAAGAATCGAGTTCGGAGGACGACGAGGCCATCAAGGTGTACAATTTCAAGCTGTGCCAAACCTCCAAGAAGGGTGAGCCCATAGCCACCAGCTTGGCGGAATTGGCAGTGCTGACAGCCCAGGAAATCGATGAGGAGGAGGAGGAGAAGCTCCAAATGCAGCAGCAGGTGACCAGGACCAATGGCATTCTGGCCACCCCCAGTAGCGAGACCTCACTCTCCTCGTGGAATTACTCGGTGCCCATATCTCCACCGCCAGACTTTTCCGATCAGCAAATGCAAACACGCAATGCGGCCTCGCTGAGTTCTGGCTCGCCACTGGACGAGATTGTGGATGAACTGGCCACTATAATCCACCAACAGCGCCTGGATACGTTGATAAAGAAGCAGCCCGATCCTCGACTGGCTGAAATTGAGGCGGCAAAACCGAATCGCTTGGCCAATTTCAGCATTGCCACGGCCAAAAGTACGACAAGAATTGGTCGAGCCGACTCCTTTCAGGCTGGAGGATCTGGTGGAGAGGCGGAGGTAACCTCATCCGGAGGAGGAACTCTGAGTCTTCGCAGCTCTTCCCATGTCTCCCTAAACAAACTGGAGCAGAATGGCAACGGCTTGGGTCAGAGGCGCTCCTCCAGTGAGTTGAGCATTGGTGAATCGCCTTCATTGCAAAGCCTGGAAGTAATCAAGACCATCTTGAACTCGAGAAAGAACAGCCTGGCTGAAAGTGGAGGCAGTGCATCATCGCCTGTTACAGAGCAACCAAAGATCATTAAGGAGCTGGAGAACTTGACCAAAGAGAAGCCATCATCAGTGACTGATGCTAAGGCCATCAGTCCTTCTCCCAATAGCATTCCGAAGCAGTCGCCCACTCCTGTCCAAAAACAGTCTCCCACTCCTGTCCAGAAACAGTCGCCTCCAACAGTTGAAAAACCATTATCTGCCATTCAAAAAGTTGAGCAGGAACCTTCTTCTATTCAAAAACAGTCACCTCCTTCCCCTGTCCTGAAGCAATCACCTACTCCAAAACAGAAACAGCAGCCTTCTCCAGTTGAGAAGTCATCATTACCTCCAGTGGTGACAACTGTCCAGGAGCAGGTGACTCTCGTGGTTCAGAAGGAGCCAGCCGTCCAGAAACAATCACCGCCGGTGGCCAAGAAGATGACACCTCTTCCAACTCCAAAGCCATCGCCTCCGTCTGTTATCAAGGTACCGGAACCATCGCCGCCTCCAGTTCAAAAACTTTTGATTCAGCCTACTGTTCAACCGATCAAAGAAGAAACCTCCGTCTCGACGAGCTCCCGAAACACCATAACACCTCCGAATTCCCCAGCCACACCAGTCAGTCCTGTAAACCTGAGGAACCCCGAGAACAGAAAGGTGGAAACCCAGACAAGTCAGCAGATTGAATCCGCTCCGAGCTCCAAGCCTCTGCCACCCACATATCGCTATTCCGGGCCACCCAGCATCAACTTTGCCACCTGGAGCGAACGACCCAAGTCCACTGTGGCCATCAAGAACGAAGGAGACTACATCTTTGGCGGGGCAGGAAAGTCCCAAAAGGTGACCTCACCACCGCCTGCCAAGCTGACCATCGAAGTAGCCTCACCCATTTTGAGGATGGGCATTCCCCAGAGGAAGGAATACCACGTCCCCATTACGGTTAAGCCGCTAAAGGATGTGAGTCAGGAGAACCAGCAGCAGGATAAGCCGGAGGTTCCGGTTGCGGTGGAAAAAGAGCAGCAGATCCAGGAGGAAACATTTTCGGTTCAAGTGAAGCTTAAGACGCCAGCCAAACCTCTTGAGAAGCCACAAGTTCAGACCCAGAATACAATCCAAAACCAATCCTCTACGCTGCCGCGTCCAGCCAAAAGCAATCGATTTACTCTACCCGCTGGCAATAGCAATCACCAGGTGGCCTCCAGCTTGGCCAGTAACTCCTTGCCACGGCCGGTTTCTAGTTTGGAGAGAAATAGACCAGTGGAGGCCAATCCTGCTCCTGCTCCCTTTGGACAGAATACCCTGCGCCGCACGGGATTCAAGGAGCGAATGTTGGCCAGAGAGCAGCAGGAACAGGAGCAGGCCTTGAGGATAAGGGTGTCCGTTAATGGGACCACTTCTTCTCCTCCTCCTCCCCCAGCGGCCACGCCCACATCCCCGCCAGAAAGCAAGCCAGCACCGCCAGCAAAGAATGTGAATGTGGTTTTGAAGTCCACCAAAGTGGAGCTGAAGCTCCAGGAGCCGGAAATTAATGGTAGGCCGGTGAGCCTACAGGTCAAACTGAAGCCCACATCACAGCCGGTGGCCACGCCCTCACCACCGCCACCGCCTGCGCCCCAAATGGTTCCGGCCCTGAAACCCGTGAAAACCAACGGGACACGCAGTGGCCTCATAACGCCGGATCCACGTTCCCAACTACTGGATGCGATACGGAATTTCAAACGCGAGGAGCTCAACCGATCCTGAGTATCGAAAATATTACACTAGCAAAAACCCAGGCACAAAATCACAAATGCAGCGCACAAGTTATATATTTTTTAAAACGTTAACAGTAAATTTTGTGTTGAGTTTGTAAATAATTTCGAAAAAAAGCCAAGATATAGTAGAACTTTTTTTTCACCCTATCCCCGCGCTTTTAAAGCGCCTAATACCCCCATTTTTTTTAACTAATCTTAGTTTTTTTGTTATGAACTATGTAGTTTTTTAAAAATTTGTTTTAGTCATAGGTCACAAGAGAAACCCAAAAAAAAAGCAAGATAATAAAAAACGAAAAGCGAAAAATTAATATATATATATATACACATGTACGTTATTATGCCTATATAATATTTCGTATGTCATAGTGAATTATAGTAACCAATTTTCTAACCAATGGGACTGGTCTACTTAACCAAGAAAACAGTGGCCCTGAATGACGACTGAAATCTTCTAAAGGAAAAGCGAGAAAAATAGAAGATGGAAATTTAATCTATTGAACAGTAAAACTAAAGATTAAAGATTAAAACATAAATCCTAGTAGAAGCCCCGTATTTAATTAGGAATCAGCCAATAAAATCTATGCAACAAGAGCGAAGGATAAAACGTGAAGAAATATAGAAATAATAGATGTGCTTAGAATTGAGTAAAGGAAAATTAAAACAATGTGTTATGTGCACTAGATTTTGAATTTCAGCTTACAATTAATTAGGAATATTAATGAAGAACAGTATATCAAAAGCAATGGCACATGAATTACTATAAAATCATAGAAATAATCAAATATTGCAGGGGCTTGATAAAGAATAATGTGAATTCTGTCTACGAATTTAGGAATCTTCTTATTAAACATTTATATTATCGTGTCAAACAAACAAAAAACAAATTGTAGCGAAAGCAAGCAAACCCAAAACCGAGAGTTAATAATGCTAATAAATTATTTTAAAGCAACTGCAGTTTATGCATTTAGCGCTCATGTATATATATGGCATTGTATTAAACTGAATAAAATAAAATACACAATTAATTAAAGTATTTTCTTACTTTTGGATAAGGTGGCTAAAAGGGTTAACCAAGAAAACAGTGGCCCTGAATGACGACTGAAATCTTCTAAAGGAAAAGCGAGAAAAATAGAAGATGGAAATTTAATCTATTGAACAGTAAAACTAAAGATTAAAGATTAAAACATAAATCCTAGTAGAAGCCCCGTATTTAATTAGGAATCAGCCAATAAAATCTATGCAACAAGAGCGAAGGATAAAACGTGAAGAAATATAGAAATAATAGATGTGCTTAGAATTGAGTAAAGGAAAATTAAAACAATGTGTTATGTGCACTAGATTTTGAATTTCAGCTTACAATTAATTAGGAATATTAATGAAGAACAGTATATCAAAAGCAATGGCACATGAATTACTATAAAATCATAGAAATAATCAAATATTGCAGGGGCTTGATAAAGAATAATGTGAATTCTGTCTACGAATTTAGGAATCTTCTTATTAAACATTTATATTAATTGAAAAAAAATAAAAAATTAAATTTGAAATTTGAAATGAATAAGGAATATTTCTTATTAATTACTAATTAGAAAGCTAAAAAAGATAGCGTTTAAAAAAATGGTGTTTCTATCGCGTGGTTGCTGTTCCACTTTTTTTAATATTAATTTAAACGAATAAAAAATTACCTTTTAACAGTGAAGGTTAACAGCAGCAGGTTCTGTTAAGGCGTAACATCGATAACTGTGCTGTAAGCGCACCATATGATTTTCCCCGGTGATATGGCAGCCCTGTCAGCCGAAAGGAGAATTGTATAATTTACTTTGTTGTGATTTCTTTGCTTTTTATGAATCAAATATAGTAAAATAAGGGAAATACCTGCGAAACATGGCGCTGCGCATCCTGAAGACCTTGAGGCCGGTGGCCCATCCACTGGCAACGACCTTGGCCGGCGGGCAGAGGCAGGAGTTTATTCACACGACGCCGGCGTGCTGCGAAATCCGGAAACTGGCCCGTTTGCGGGTGGTGGACAACAGCGATTTGGGCAAAAGGGCGATGGCCGAGGGACGTCCGCCCAGGTGCATCCATGTGTACAACAAGCGGGGCGTGGGCCTCATCGGGGACAAGGTCCTGGTGGCCATCAAGGGACAGATGAAGAAGGGCATCCTCGTGGGACTCAAGCAGAACCAGAAGCCCAAACAGCCCAAGTTCGACAGTAACAACCTGGTCCTTATCGATGACAACGGCAGTCCCTTGGGCACCCGCATCCATGTGCCCATTCCCACGATCCTGCGCACCATCCTCAAGGAGAAAACACTGGCTAAAGGAGCCGATTACACCAAGGTTCTGGCCATCGCCAGTAGATATGTTTAAGTTCCCGTGGGATCCTAGGGATCCCGTCTTCCTGTTGCTAAATGAATAAAGTTTATCCAACCGAATCAGTGAAACTGGATTTTTAAAACTTAGCTAGTCAATAATACAACCTAATCTAGTTCTGCATTTTCCCAAATACATAACATACTCCCATTTTTATACCCTTGTAGAGGGTTTAATACTTTCAGTCAAAAGTTTGGAACGGAGTGTCTTCACAAGTGATTATATTCTTGATCAGCATCACCGGAAATGTCCGTCCGTCTGTTTTTCCGTTTCTACGCAAACTTTTCCCTAGTTCTAAAAACTTAAAACAACTTACGACTTCCTAAGTCTTTTTTTGAATACCTCCCGCATTCTCTGTTTTCTGCTGTAAAAACAGCTGTAAGCCCCACATGACATTTTTTCCAATTTGAAATATACATATATATTAATTTAATTTAAACTAAATAATAAAATTATACTTTAAAGATCCATATCCTAATACTGAATAGACATAAACATACATAGCCGATTTAAAATGGTAAACTAGAAACCTATGAAATAATAATACCTGTATTTATTTCGTAGTCTAACTGTATTACCAAGAATTTCGTTACCTTTTGCTTCGCCACATCCAAAATCTTCTTCAATTCTCAACTCCAGAGACAACACCTTCTCTTCTCCTTTTTGTAGTATAAGTATAATGTGTATAATGTAATTGCGATCAGCTAGTTTAGTTTAGTTTAGTTTCAGTAGTCTTGCCTAACGTTTACAAGTTATGATGCAGTTATGTACACATGGGCGTTGCAGTTTAGTTTATAGTTTTGTAGTCGTCTTGTGGTAACAGAAATGCACTTTGTCAGTTCCAAGAAAAGCATCAGTTTTTGCTTTGGGTCGGCAGACAGCCCATCTCTTTCACTTTGGTGGGCAGGCCAAATCCGTCCCCTTCGTGAATCGCTTATGTACAGAGGGACAAAAACGAAAAAACGCCTAGAAATAGGTTCACTTTGATCACGCAGAATATAAGTACAGGTACAGCACGCTGTCTAAATATTTCCAGCACTGCCGAAGAACTGAAAGTTGTTGAAGTTCACCGGCGTTTTAGGGCTTGGCAGATACAGAAATTCATCGTTCTGCAGCTGCGATTGCGTCAGGTTCGGTTCGCTGGCACTGCGATGGATCTTGGGCAAAGTGCGCAGCATGTTCTCCAGCATATTGAGCAGCGGCCGAAAGAGCGGTCGATCTTTGGGCGTATACTTGATGCAGTCCTCGGCCAAACGTTTCAATGCCTGCGGCGCATCCGAACGCACTTGGCTCATGTCCGGGCGTAGAAGCCCTCGTCCCACCATGAACAGGATCTGATCCTTGTTGCTAATATGGCCGTAGGGCAAACACTCTGCCAGCAGTTCGTACATCACAATCCCAAAGGCATAAACGTCCGATTGGAAGGAGTAAGGATTCAGCTCCTGCATGCGAATAACCTCCGGCGCCATCCACAAAATACTGCCAGTAGGCTGGTTAGCCTGCTTTTCACCTGACCACCGAGTTTTCGCGGTGGCAAGTCCGAAATCGCCAATCTTCACGGAGAGATCCTCGTGCAAAAAGATGTTGTTCGACTTCAGGTCTCTGAAAAGGTAATTTATTTAAATTGATTACATTTGAAAGGAGCAGTTCTTAACCCACCTGTGTATGATATTCTTGGCATGCAGGTAATCCATGCCTTGGGCCACCTGACGACCAATATCGATGAGCGTGTTCAACTTGAATTTGGTTTCGCTGACATGGACGTGCTTGTAGAGACTACTTCCCTCGCACCACTGAGTCACAATAGCCAAAGATGGCTTGGACACACAGCCCATGAAAAGCAGGATGTTGCAGTGGCGCGTCTTCTTTAGCATGGCCACCTCGTTTTTAAAGGCCTGCAATTGGGCGAGGCTCGGTGTCTTCACGTTAAGCGTCTTTACGGCCACGGGTCCGTGCCAGTGAGCGCGGTAAACCGTTCCAAAAGATCCCGATCCGATCCGGGGCCCAATCAAAATCTCCTCAGCCAGGATATTCTGCAGAGTAAGAGCGAGAAACAGTTGTAGTTCAGGTTAGTTAAGCTGCTTCTCGGTTCCCCATCTTACCCAATTCTCCTCGGAGCTCTTGGCGTCCCTTGCAAGGAGATTCTTGTTGCTCTCATCAGCGGATCTTGCCCTGGGACGATTATGCTTCAACGTGCTAGTAGGGGATGCCTGCGTGGAGTTGGAGTGATCCGTACAGGGATGCTGGAAGGGATTAAGACACGGGATAAAGCCAAGATATAGACGATAAGCCACCAATCCCCAAACTCACCGGTAATGGAGGCCTGGCCTGCATTATCAAACTGCGCTGCACTTCGCTTGTGACCGAACGGATGTTGTTGATGCACACATTCGGCGCCGAATTGGATCGATCATCCTGACTGATCCTTGGCGGACGACCCTGTCGATGGTTTCCGGAGGACGAGGATGGTGGCTTGGAGCTGCTGCTGCTGCCACTGCTGCTGCACCGCCGACTGCGACTGCGGCCGGTCATATTAACCCGGATAGCAGTACCTCGCCCGGGCACGCCATTTTCGGGATTCTCGGCCAGGAGCTGCTGGTAAAAGCTTTCCATGGGAAAAGGCTGGCACAGCATCGGCACTCTGTTGGCGCACCTCTGATGGAAACGGAAATTGCACTGGCTGCAGTAGAACCCAGTGAAGAGGAGCCGTCGACAGCCCTCACAAAACACCAGCGAGAAAAAGGTCTTTCTTATGATCTGGTGCTTGATGTGTGTCCTGATGGGGAACTTATCCAGGAGCCTCACAAAGATCTCCTCCACGCGCAGAGCGCCTATATCCATGTGCCACGGTATGATTTCCCCTCCTCCGGAATGTGCTGTGCTCACTTCGCACATGTCCGGCGTTAATTGCCGGAGTTTTAGGGCCTTCATCAACGCATCACAAAGTCGTACACCCGAAATTACCTCCACCGAAGTGCGTTGTTGGTTGGGCAGGTGGGCTCTCAAAAGGATCTTGGGCTGGCGGGTCAGAGTTCCACATTGGCTGCCCGGTTGAGAGCCCAGACTATCCGTAAGATCATTCCCATGATGCACTCGGGCCAGTTGCCGCTGTTGCTGCAGGATTTGGGTTTGGTTTTGATAGTGGGGCTGCTCCTTAAACCGCTCAACCAAGGAGGAGTCCTCCTGCTGATCCTGCGAGTTCAGCCGCTCCATGAGCTCCTGCTCCTTGGCTTCCAGTTCGTGCAGTTTGGAGGTCAACTCCTGATATTCTGTGGGGGATTAACAATTATTAGCAATTGGAGATTATCTTAGATGCGTTTAACTATGTAAATGTACATATAAGCCACAGGTTAATGAATATAAATACACATTTTAAGCAAGGGGTATTTACTAATTTTTCTAACTACTATTTGCATTGACACTGTTCATTTTGTAACATTTGCATTTGTCAGGTGAACTCCTGGTATTCTCTAAGGGACTACCAGAGATTCAAGAGGACTTCGATGGGCGTTCAAGGACATACCCATTAAGTACATGGCTGGTGGCTCCTGCAGGTTGGCAAACTTGGCATTCAGGGCATCGATATTCTCCCTGGTCACATGCTTCACCAACTGGACATTGTGCAGCTCCTCGGCCAAGGGATCGTACAGATCGCTATCGCCCTCGGTGGACGATTCGCTGGACATGATGTTGCGGCTATATCCTAACTCCTATATATCCAATATCCTGTGACCATGACCCCGAAAACGAAGAAGCCTTGACTCCTTGAAGGAAAAAAACTCCTGCGCTTGCGTTTTAGTGGAGTTCTAATGGGTGAGCCACCCACATCCACTTTTGTGGGCGGGGGGCAGCATGTCGTCCTTGACTTTTTACGGGCTTTTCCGGGTTTTGCGACTTTTCCGACTTTTGCGGACCAAAATATCCTGATTTTTCGCTGATTATCCGCCTGTGTTTCTCTTCCAGCCTTTTTCCAGTGCACCCACACACTCGCAGGCGCACACACACACGCACAAACACCTTGTATACGCGGTATGTATGTATAATGAAGGTCAGTGTGTGTAAAAGCAGCTGAACTTGAGGATTTTCCAAAGGATTTAGCGCTGTCAATTTTCCGATAACATCGGATAGAGCCGGCTACGGGAATGTGTGGTTGTATCGGTATCGGTATCGGCACTATCTGGCCGTCCTTTTATTTCACTTTAGTTTTGTCAAGTTATTTGTTTGCGAGAGCTTTATTATATTTGTCACGCTTTTAATCGTTATCTGAAAACGCGATTTGGCCCGGTTTATCGAATGAAGATATTATCGATAGAACAGGGCTACCTGTTCAAGGCTACCTGTTGTTATTAAAATATTTGTTTTGTTATGTTTTTTTCGTCGTCTTCCACAGCTGTCGATGCATTTGGCCGCGATCTCGAATCACATAGTACCTGTAAGAGGTCGCGTTCGCGGTCGCGGTTGCGTCGCGTAGTTTTAACCCGACTTAACTATAGAGGTGGACAAGCGTCGATGCCATCATAAATGTCATCGATGTATTTAAAAGCATCGGTGATATCGATGTTTAGTTGCCTCCACCTCTAGAAAGTGGTGGCTGTACTCACTAGCTGCGGAGTGTGTAACTACTATTTGCCAGCCCTGGCAATGCCAAGTGCCAACAAACAGACAGCAGGTGGCGCTCGCCGGCATCAAATTTCAAAATCGAAAACAAAGCAACCTTTGGAAATTATGTTTATGTCTATTTATTTATTTCGTCACTTCTATAGTATTTCCGTAGCTTCGAACACTTTTTCTTAATTAAGCTAAATTTTATGTGAATAACAAAAAAAAAAGTTTGGTAATTTTCATAAAAATATATATAAGAGGTAAAACATACCAAACGCTGATAAACATGGTGAATATATTTGATAACCGCACAACACATAAAATAACACGTAACATAACTTAATTTTAAGAAACAAAATATTACTTTTGGCTAACTGAGAGCAGGCAAAATACAACATACGATTTTATTTTCGCATTCTGCGTATATTTCACCACTCAACAAGTAGCCCATGTCTTTCAAAGACCCCCAATGTCAAATTTGTACTGCCATAGACTTTCACTTACACATCGGCTGTAATATCAACCGGATATTTTTCGCACTCGGGCTTCTCCGTTTCCCTCAGCATTTCCTTTTCTCAATCAAAAACATATAGAATTTACACACCGGCACACACACAACAACACCCCACTCAGCAAAAAAGCTGAAGAAATGACAGGCGATAATTCGTACTGCTTGGGTCCCAACCCGCGGAGATCTGTAGCCCTTTTGCAGGCAGAGCTCCCACGAACCCGCTCCCATTCCCAGTCACTCATCGAATCCCCTCGCATGCAGTTCCCGTTCCTGGACGAATCCTCAATGCGAAACCAAGTGGCGGCGGTCCGTTCTCCAGTCCCGATCCGGCGGAGGAGATTCGCCCAGCGACCGACGGTCCAGCAGCAGCAGCAGCAGCAGCTGGAGAGGATCTACAATCAGGGAGTGCCCCACCTCCTCGACCAGCGGTTCAATCTTCCCTGGCAGCCCCGCGTCGAAAGACAGACACCCGGTGAGTCCAGAAAAAAATCCACTACACTCATAGCAAAATTAACCCTAAAAACAAGAAATTCGCCCTATTTTTGTCTTCAATGGCATCGTACCATAAATTCTAGGGTAATTTTTTCATTCAGAAAAGTCACAAAGTTTGTATTAGTATTGCACTAATGAATTGCCAAGATCGATTTGAACTAATATATTAAAGGCTATTAAAAAAGCATTTACTTCTGATTTAAGAATCTTAAGAGACTTTGTCCGCCAGCTTACATCACATTTAGGTATTATTTATTCGAGCCAATAATGTATTGATAACAAATTAATTAGGGTAATAATCATATAAGGTATTTTTATAAAATACACTTCCTTTAAAGTATAAAATCTTCTTAAATGTAATTTAACCAATGCAATAGCCGGTAGTTAAACTTTATGTACTATATAGAAGTGGATGATAAGGGACCTGCATCATATAAGGAAAGTATCTCAAAGAAGGCATTGATTAAGTAGCCTTTTTTTTAGTTTTTTTAAACTAGCCTCGGCTGTTTTGGTTTCTTTTTCGGCAATACAGTGGTCTAGTGACTGTTCAACAACATGCCTGTAAGGCCTGTACAAAATTGTGGCTTTTGTTAATTTGGCGTTAGGAATAGGGTCACTAAACAGTCCTTTTTCCGACCAGATATGACGGAGGAGGGAGTGCCCAGCGCCGTGGAGCACCGAATGGGAGCACCCAACAATGAGGTGGTGGCCAACAGGGACACCATTCCGCTGGTGGTAGAGCCCCTGATTGACGAGCGGGCGTGTCCTTGGAGGCGGTGCGTCCACACCTTGCCACGCCTGGGAGTCGACGAGCATGTGACCCAGCCGCTGCTCTACTTGGCCTTGGAGGCCCTCAGGATCCAGCAGCAGGCGCTGGACGGTATGTGGGACTCGTACCGGGTGGGCTCGCTGGGACAGGCCCCCGATCCCATAGTCAGTCCCTCGCAGTTCGTGGCCGAGTACATGGAGCAGCACATGACCCCCGAGGTGTTCAATGCTGGGAATAGACCGCGCTATGGCTCCTCGCCCGAGACCCGGACTCCGCCGCCCTCGCCGAGGAACACTTAAGACGGCGTCGCCCCTCCCCTCGCCACACGCCACTCGCCCCTTGCCCCACAACCCCCCTTAATTACCGCGAGGATCGGCCGCTTTGTGTTGTACACCCGCCAGGAACTGACATTCCGAAAATCTCCTGTGGAATCTCGACGCTCCAGAACCCTTTGATTTTAACTTTAACTGTAATCGATTTCAAATCTTTAAACTAAATCCAATATCCACGAAAATCGCAAAACTTTTGTTTTTAATTGGGTAAAAGAAATAATAAAATAATAATAATATATCTCCAAAAGTTTTTTGTTAAAAAGTGGCTGTTCTTAGCTTTTTGAGTACCATTACAGATTTTTAAGAAAAGAAAAAAAAAAAAAAGGTGATGTTTTCAGAGTGACTTACCCCTTAAAGTTTCCAAGTTTCCGATGGATTGCAAAGAGGTGACCAAGTTACCTCTAAAAAAATCTAATTAAATTCTCTAATGATCTGCAGTAACATTTTTTTTTTTTTTTTTTGATCGCTACGGTATGGATATCTTTGAAAGATACTAGGTTGGCATGCACGATTCATTGCTTTATTAGAACCTTCTTCAGATTGAGGGTTTTGCAATGCCTACGTACTAAAACCATCCTTAATTATTATCCTTGTTATGCCAAGGCAGCAGGCATAAGTTTAGAAGATTTGAAAATGCAAGTGACCCATGATCACTGGTAAGGATGCCACGAGCAACATATGGAAACAAATTTAAATTGCAGAGGTTGCAAAAGTCAGCCGCAAATGATTTCCCAGAACGATAGTTCAGTTGCGGCCACGTGGGAAATCGGGCAGATTGCAAGATTGAGAGATTGGAACCGGGTCAATCCGATACCCTTGTGCTCCTTCGTTCCCCGTAAGTCCCCGGGATTATCTATGGAATTTTGAACAGTATCTCCGCTCTAATCGCAAGCAAATCGGCTTTAATTGTTATTGCGACTATTTGTTAAATTGTTTACAATCTGAATTCGCGTAATTATATAAAATATGCATGGCAAACAGTGCGTTTCGAAAGACAAGATCGTGGGAGCAGATAGCACCCAAGAATTGTTTTATACATATTAACTATGAATCGCACTGTCTTCAGAATTGATGTCATTCTATATACGGTCGAAGATTGTTTTTTATTCCACGTATAATGTACATATGTACATATACATATGTATTTCACGTTCTGCTTTTTTGGTCAATGATTAATTGATGAAAATGATTGAAATGCGGTTAATGATTTATTTTGAAATCGCACTCCTAATCGCGTGAATACTTACTCATAATACTTGCGTGTACATATAGTATATAATGTGTAGTAAGTCTGGCATATAGTAAACTCGATTCTGTTTACAAGTTGTGGGACCACGCGCCGTTCAAGTGATTCGCTGGCTTCGCTTCTGTTTCATGGGAAATGGAAAAGCCCGGGGTGAAAGTTCATCGGGACACACGCAACGAATGTGGGTGCAATGCACTCCGGTCTCTTGATTTTTCGGCTCTTTTGGGGGCGTGTTCTCGGGGCGGGATTCAAGGTCACCAGCCGGCCAGACGGATGGCAGACAGTTTCCCCAACTCCCCATTTCCACATCCCGATTCTCGATTCTCGACTCCCGATTCCCGACCCCCAGATTACAAATACGAACACGAAGACGGTTACGGTTACGGTTGCGGAGTCGGAATTGGAATCGGAATCGAAGAGCCCGGGAAAACAGATTAGAGATGGGTTTTGTGGGTCAGTGGTTCCTATTTCATTGACGGGTGAACTAAAATCAAACCAACCTTGAAATGCCGAGTAAACAAACAATTTCTGCTTATACTAAGTAATGCCATGTACTTTAATTCATCCGACTAGTCATTAAATTTGAATGGTTACTGCCAAAGTTATAGTTTTATTAAAAGAATTTGTTCAGTTACTTATTTTTGGAATTAAATTATATTACCCATTTCATTTAAACATAAAATATACTTTCTTACTTTATTTAAAATTATATCTTGCCATAATAACATAACTGTTCTATGATATTATCACATTGCCCTCATTAAACATTCAAGGTACATTTATGAAATACCTTAATAAATATGTTTTAATTAATAGCTTAGTGTTCCAGCTGCTTAAAGAATGCAGTTCATTGTACTAAATTGATAGACTAAATGCTTGAATAGTCCACTGATTCACTTTGAGTGTTAAATTTATAAATTTAGAAATTGGTCTTATGAATTAAATTAAATAACTCAGTTGATTTGAAGACCCAAGTTGATTGGCCAAATTTCGGTGTTCACTGAGTTCAAGGTCTCTTTTTCGGTGGGTTCAGTTCCAGGTCACCACTCTTTGAACCACCGCGTGGTGGCGGCGTTTTGTGTGCCAGACGTTGACCTTGAGGCCTCTTAACCGATTGCAGTTCATTGGCAGCTGGGAAACGCCAGCCACAGCCCACCACCCACCACCCACTGCCACCCAAAAAAAAACGAAATAGACCCAAAAAAGTGTGTCTATGCCCGCTAGTGGCTGTTTCTCTCGATTGTTGCTCTGTGCTCTTCATCTCGACCACCCAACCACCCAGCCACCCAACCACCCACTTCACCACCACACCTCCCATTGTTGTTTTTACTTTTTGGGGTCGTTGGCGACAGTTTATTGACATCGGGCGATAATTTCGTGAGTTGTTTTTTCACAACGCCCCAATAAAAAATGAAAAAAAAAAACAAGCATCTTGAATATTAAATTGCGAATGGAAATGGAATTAAAATATGCAAAGGTGTGTTCCCAAATTATAAGATAGATATTTATTTATAAATATCACAGGACCAATTTAGGAACATTTTGTAATTCTTTCTAATTGGGATTGCCATTAAATATTTTTGTACTAACTGAATATGGTTTAGTACCAAAGAATAAATAATTCAAATGATAGCTACCATCCAACTGATTGATCGGAAATGCCATAACTTTGGTGTTTGTAAAATTAGGAAGTTGGGATTTTCTATGGGTTTTATTTTTGTCCAATCAATTCGACCTACCAAATTTCATAAGGATCGGCAGACTATATCCTATAGCTGCCATACAACTGATTGATCGGAAATGCCATAACTTTGGTGATTGTAAAGTTGGGAAGTTGGGATTTTTTATGAGTATTAAGAATGCATCATATGAATAGTTTTGGAAAATATAATTTACAGAATATTCTGCAAGTATATGAAAATGGTTTGTGATAAAAATGTGTTCAATTAGTGTGAAAAAACAGGCCATGCCGTTTATGTCAAACATTTTTTTATGCTTTCCATAGCATTGTACTATTTTCTCAGTTTTATTTTTACACTCAATCTGTTAACACGTATTTTCGAAATAACTTGAGCTAGAAAATTTTTTTACATTGTCAACTTTTGATAAATTTTTAGATTTCCAAATTTCCACGAAACGACTTTTAAAATGGAAGAAAAACCTGGTCCTTCAGGATCTGAAGGACCACGGAAAGAAGCCACTTTCCTGTCTTTCGTGTCTTTTATCGGTTTGAGGAGAACTGTCTGTCACATCGCGGGATTTGTTTTCTACCTCCCGACTATCGGTCAGCTGGTTTATCTCATCTTCGTGGACTTCCTTGGAAACACGCTCGTCGTCTTGATTCTAGCAAAGAAAGGATTTCCACCAGGGCTTGGCGTTGGTCACTTCAGGTTGTACTTGCATCTCCGATGGTTTCTCACTGGACTCGATGACGCCAATGGCCCTCGGAGGAGGTGTTCTATTGGCAGCCCTCCTTTTGGCGCTGGTGACCTTGGGCGAAGGTTTTTTTCTGCCATGACTCGGGCTTTTGGTCTTCTCGAACTTTGATTTTCTAACGACACGTTTGGCGACACGTCTCGGCATTTCAAGGACCTTGTCCACTTCATCGGAAGACGGCACCTGCCCCGGCTGAAATTTTGGAGTTTTCTGCCCAACACGCTTTTTTATCGGTCCGCGAGGCCTGGGAAATTCGTCGCAACTGGACACTTCATCGTTGTTGACCTTGATGACCCTTTTCTTTCCGCGGACGAAAAACGGAAGGAAGACACGATTTTGTAAGAGGAGAATGGAATGCAAATATAGTTTACTTTTTCAATATTAGCAATTTCAGTCTGTTTTCTGCTTTATAACCTCAAGAGTTAACCCCATAAATTTCTACAATCAAATAATTCAAAAGAAAATGTGGCTAGTAAACAATTTTGATTACTACATAACTCATTGTGTTAAAAGCAGCACTTTAATCGGTTTATTGTTTACGATTTTTGCCCACCGAGCCCTTCTATCAATTCGAGGAATCTTGCAAATCACGAATAATTTTAATGGATTTTTTTAAACAGTTAAGAACATTTAGGAAGTATTAAAAATTATATTTAGGAGCTCCTTATTTTTTGGGAGAAACTCGATCAAGAAAGTTCTAATACGAGTTAGTTCGATGGAACTTGCAACTTAATTGCAAAGTTCAATTCGCTAGAATGGGAATTTGATTTGTTATTGTTTTTGTTATGGTTTTTGTTGCATATACATTACGATTGCGCAGACTGTTGTCGCCGATGTCTAGGCTTTTGGTATCAACAACAAACCTCCTCCACGCTTCTGGGTCAATAATCTGCGTCTGAGCTACAGCATCGGGCTCTGAGCTATAGATTCGCGATGTCTTGTTGTTGGCGCCCGATTGCCGCACATGTCAATCAATGAAGATCCAATTTTAGCACAAGTAAACAATATTCGCTCGATCGCCTCCTGGCAACCCCCTCCCCCCTTCCCACCATGGAGGGGGAGAAAAGTGTAGTGGGTGGGGGTCTGGGGCGCCTCCCCCTAGTCGCTTATCTCAACCTCTGGCTAGCGGAAAAAACCAAGAGCCATCACAGTTGGCGATTTATCGAAAAAATCAATTGGTTATTAGTCTATCGAAAATATCGATCACCTGTCATTTGTAACTTACAAATCTGCCATTGGTCTAAAGAGACTACTTACTACAAAATATATATTTAAACATCGATATACAAAACACATCGGCAGAACATTTTAAATTTTACAAATAGTCAGATTCAGAGGTGAGTCATAACCAGCGTGTTTTCTTTATACTTGTTAATAATCTTGAATCTTAGGTGGCAGGATCATACGGTACACAGTATACAAGCATTACCTATCGATCCATTCACCCATCGGTTATCGATCCGATCCGATTTGAATCGTTGACCCTGACGTGGCGTGCCTCCCGTGTGGGTCTTCCCACCTTGGACTCTGCACCGCATTGCGTATTGCTCATGCCGCTGAGATCAGATCCATCCAATACAATCCACCCAACCAACAAGAGTCCGCCCATTTTCAATCGCCGCCTTCTTTAGTCTCTCCCAAAACAACAGATGGCATACCTACACGGAGAGAACTTGCTTATAGATCATGTTCTATAAAGTAAAACTGGTTATTACTTTCTTCACGAATTAATGGTTTGGCAAAATCCGAACGATGTAGGATTTGAAATCGATATTATTAAGATGTACTAGATAAAAATGTAAGGCCTTGGTATTAGAATAAATTACAAAAAAAAAACGAACGATAAGCAATTGGTAATCGATATCATCTGGAATAATTATCAATAAGATACGCGATTTTTATTTTTCAATACAATTGATATGATATGAATACTGATTCTTTGACACTTTGGCACTGTTTTTCTCAGTATGTGCAAGCCTTGGCTTATCTCACGCGATGACTTAGCACTCAGGGCCTCACCCTCCCACTCCCACTTCCACTCCCAACCTCCCCCACAACTCTGACCCTCTCTTTCTCAACGTATTCTTCCCTCTCTTTCTCTCTCTCTCTCTAGAGAGATGTTGTTTTCCTCGCTGGAGAGTCGAGATTAATGCTAAAAATAGGGATATTTTTTATTTGAATCGAAACTAGATCACGACGAATTCACGTTGCCGTTGTTTACGGCTTTTTCACTGACGGACGGACGGACAGCGTAACCCCCCGCCACGCCCACCGCCCCCTTTTGGGCTGCCCCACTGGCTTCCGTTCTTCATCGGCTGCAGTCGAAGTCGCAGTCGCAGTTCCAGCAACAAAAACATCAACAAGCTTATCGCCGAATCATTATCTATAAGCCAAGCCAAGCCCAAGACCCCGTGCATAGGGTATATCTGGTCGTACATAGGGTATATCCAGGGTTTCCAAGAATATAATCGATATTTTGATATTTGATCGAGATCTAAATAATCCGATCTATGTATAATTTATTTGGTTATTATTGGCGATCTATAAACGGTCTAATATAAAATATTTTATACAGGGTTTATTCGTACTTTTCAAGGAAAACCAAATGTATTTCATGCTGATAGGATAAAGCTGTGTATTATCGCATCTATAAATATTTTATAGACATTTCATTAAAGCTATTAAATTATTACTTGTCAAAATATGTACATCCATTTGGTAACCCCATATTCCTAATTTCATTTTACAAATACAAACAATTTAACCATTATTATTATAATCATTGGAGCACTTTCAGTCCAGGTAACAATATCCAAGAAAATTGGGGGCATATATACACATAGATACAAACATGTGAACCCATAATATGTAGAATGGTTTGGAGTCATCTAAACGACTGAACTTTGTCGTTTTGACGAAGCGTTACCGTTAATAAGGAAAATGAAAATCAACAAGTGCATATATAGAGCGTGGATTGGATGCTGCTTTTCCACTGATGGATTCACTCTAGTTATTGTTGTTGTGCTTTTTGTTGCTGTGTGCATTTGTCACTCACACACAGGCAGCCACACACGCACACCCACACACGCGAGGTTTGTGTGTACTTTGTTCAAAGGCGATCTTATTAATATGATTATTCCATTGTATGGTTATACAGTCCTACTTTCCTAACTCGAATCATCATCATAGTTCGAATTGCTATCTGGTTTTAAGGTTGTATACCAACTTGGGACTTACAGCATTTATATTTATAGCCAATGCTAATGTTACAAAAAGTCGAGTTCTTAAATTTTGTTTATATTGAACTTTATGGACTGATGAGTAACAGCAATTATTATGCTCATTATTTTCCCAACATGACTAACTGTTCGATGAATAAGCGAAGACGGTTGCAAATTTGCCAACGTCATGTCAACTACCTAAAACGCAATTTCATTTAAAAAAGAAAACCGAAAGATAATATTAATAGTACCCTTCGAATTTAAGATACTATACCTTCAGAGTTCGAGCTATACCACATAACGCTCGCTTTCTCGTGCTCACAATTAGATACAAAAAGGTTTTAAAACCCCCTTTAAGCTTAGCATGAGGACGAGAAAACAGATCTTTAAATAATAGATACATGTATAAATTACCTGGTAAAAGTCCCAACTGAGGAGCATATCTTAAGAGCGCCATGTAACTTGACCCCTTGGGTTCGGCTTATAGACGTTGGCCTGTATTAACGATCTCAAAGACCCACACACCAGCAAACACTCGGCTCCACAGTGACCCAAAGTTGATTGAATGTGTCATGGCCGGCAAATTGTTTAATTTCAAGCATTTGTTTGCGTTTACTGTATTTTTTTTCGCAAGACACTGGACTTTGCCTTTCAGGGTCCGCCATCTCATTCGCACTTCCACCTGCAGTCCACGTGCTTCGCATTGGCTGCATTGCTCCCTCTCACTCGCACGCGTAAAGTGAGGCTTCGTTTTGCGCTGGCGTCGCGGCAACGGTTCTTTTCCAATTTGGCTGTGACACAACGAAGAACGTTCTTCCGATCGAGCAAGAAGAATTCACTGAGAGTGCAATTGGAAGCGTGGAAAGCGGAAGAAGGAAAGTGCGAGGACCGTTCTTCCGAGCGACGAGAAGAATTCGCCAAGAGTGCGATCAATAGTGCAATACTAAGATGCAACGAACGTTCTTCCGAACGAACAAGCAGAATTAAAAGTGTGGAAAGCGGAAGAAAGTGGCGAGCGAAAAACGAGATAAGAAGCCCTCTAATTATAGACCCCACTGACGGTCTAAAAATAAACAACCGCAAACAGCGGCAAACAATTAGACAAAGAGGGAACGAGTTAGGCGCTCTCCGAAAGAAAGAGATAGAGATAAGGACGAGCAGAGAGCAAGCGCAGCTGAATATGAGAGCGCAGTGAGAGCGAAAGAGAGGGGGAGACCGCGGGAGATGGGAATACGAGATACTCCCAAGAAACGGCAGCTTTACGTTCCAGCATCCAAGCGTCCAGCTTCCAAAAGCGTTTCCAATTCCAAGCCAGTCGCAACGTCAGCGGAATACCGCTACAATTCGCATTCCCAGTCGATCAGTCGATCAGTTGCCCAGTCGCCGTCGCCTGCCCTCTCACTCTCACTCTCGCCTGCGGTCCGACAGATACACCCGCACTCTTCTGCTCCTGCCACAATACGTCACGCGATGCAACAAAAACTTGTGGGCGCAGCAGCAGCAGCCGCAACAGCAGTCGAAAACGCAGCAGCCGCAGCAGAAGTTAACCACTTGTTCGATTTTCCGCACTCCTCCAACCGCCTATCGATAGTAAAAGGACTCTAATCGATCTTCAATCGCAACGGATATTTATCGGCCCCGTTAAGAAATTTTTTTTTTTTGCACGTACAAAAACCCCAACTAAACCCACCAAAAAAAAAAAGGAAACTTACCCATTATTTTTAGTTGTTTTGTTTTGTTTTTCAACAATTGATTGTGATTTTGAAACTGTGTGATCGCAAAAGAAAATCTGCACATAAGCAAAAAATAAAGTTCCTTAACTAAGTGATAACCCGTTAGAAATTCTATAGACAGAAAGTGGAAAGGAATCGCCCGAAAATATATAAACGCTATAACCATATACACACACACACACACGCAATATAAACGTTATATAATCCGCGTATATTAAACGACAAATATATATCAAAAGCCTTGATCTGTATATATCGAGGTCCTCAACGGAAACCAATATATCTACCATCAAAGTCCGGAAAGAACAGCATGCAAATGTAAGTACAACAAGAAAGGAAAGCTAACTTCGGGCGGAGCCGAAGTTAATATACCCTTGCAGAATACTCTGTAAATTATATTCTCCAAAATTATTCATATGATGCATTCTTAATACTCATAAAAAATCCCAACTTCCTAACTTTAAAACAAGAGAGAACGCTATAGTCGGGTGCCCCGACTATCAGATACCCGTTACTCAGGTAAAGGGAGTGCGAGGGAGATGGAGGTAGAAACTTTGATCACGCATAACTTTTTAACGAATGGTCCGATTTGAAAAATTTCTTCTACATTTCGATAGGTATTGATAAACACAATAAAACTGCATTTTTACTTTTCCGAAATATTTAAATTTTTAAAATCGTATATAAGCGATTGTGGGCGTTAAAGGGGGCGTGGCACCTTTTTGAAACAAACTTGCGCTGCGTAGGAACTCCTAGGATCTGCATGCAAAATGCCAATCTTCTAGCTTTTATAGTTTCCGAGATCTCAGCGTTCATACGGACAGACAGACAGACGGACAGACGGACAGACGGACAGACGGAGAGACGGACAGACGGACATGGCTAGATCGACTCGGCTAGTGATCCTGATCAAGAATATATATACTTTATAGGGTCGGAAACGCTTCCTTCTAGCTGTTACATACTTTTGCACGAATACAATATACCCTTTTACTCTACGAGTAACGGGTATAAACACCAAAGTTATGACATTTCCAATCGTTCAGTTATATGGCAGCTATAGGATATAATCGGCCGATCCTTATGAAATTTGGTAGGTCGGATTGGCTGGCCAAATATAACACCCATAGAAAATGCCGACTTCCTAACTTTACAAACACCAAAGTTATGGCATTTCCGATCAATCAGTTATATGGCAGCTATAGGATATAGTCGGCCGATCCTTATGAAATTCGGCATGTCGGATTGATTAGCCAAATATAAAACCCATAGAAAATCCCAACATTCTAACTTTACAAACACCAAAGTTATGGCATTTCCGATCAATCAGTTATATGGAAGCTATAGGATATAGTCGGCCGATCCTTATGAAATTCGGCATGTCGGATTGATTAGCCAAATACAAAACCCATAGAAAATCCCAACTTCCTAACTTTACAAACACCAAAGTTATGGCATTTCCGATCGTTCAGTTATATGGCAGCTATAGGATATAGTCGGCCGATCCCGGCCGTTCCGACTTATATACTGCGTGCAAAGGAAAGAAGGGTGTGTGCAAAGTTTCAATTCGATATCTTTAAAACTGAGAGACTAGTTCGCGTAGAAACAGACAGACGGACAGACAGACGGACAGACGGACAGACGGACAGACGGACAGACGGACAGACGGACAGACGGACAGACGGACAGACGGACAGACGGACATGGCTATATCAACTCAGGAGGTGATCCTGATCAAGAATATATATACTTTATAGGGTCGGAGATGTCTCCTTCACTGCGTTGCACACTTTTGACCAAAATTATAATACCCTCTGCAAGGGTATAAAAAGGGAAAATACGTATCGTAAGAACAAAAAAACGTAATTTTAAATATTCAAAAATAAGCTCATGGAAAGCCATTTCTTATCAGGCTTGTTTTTCCACTTTTTATATAAAGAGGCTTTCAAAGGAAAGCAATAAAGTCATTTATTGCATATGAAATTCCTCGAGATCTTTTGTGAAAACCAAACTCCATAAGATTACAATTTGTGGTGAGAAGGTTCAAGTCACTTCAAGGATGTGAAAAATTGTAATATCTCAACCCCCTTGAACCCTCCCCGTCACTTCTATAAAGATAACCTTAACCTCTTCTCGATTCTTATCAAGATCGAAATGAGACTCGAGCCAAGATCGGTTCTTCCCAAGGAAAACAAACAAACTAACCGAAATCAGCCAAGTGGTGAACAAGATCTATATATAGATCCCAGGCATATCGCTGTGAAAACGAAAGCGACAGAAGTGGAAAAACATTGAACCAAATACTATATATAGAGTGTGGTTGGAAGCCGAGTTTCCAAAGGAGAGTCATAAAAGCAAACAATAACAATAACAAAAACAAAAGCCACATGGGGCATATGCCCCATCCACTCCCCAGTCACTCTGACTTTCTGATTGTGTATAAAAAGAACTCATGTTCCAAATGATAAGTGGGGAGCCGAGCCGAGCGAGGCGGGCAAATCGGTGGGTTATTTTTAAACACTGAAGTTTATGTAAATATATTTCCTGGCCAGCGCAGCCCAGACACAAACAATAACAGAATCGAATGGAAAATACAATAATATTTGAGAGCTGATAAGGGAGCCCAACCAAGAGACCCCAGACGCGTGTGCAAGGCGGAAGAGATGGGGGAGTTATCTGTCCGGTTCCGAAGAAATGTGTCCTTATTACAAGTCACTAAAATCGTTTTGTTGGGAGTACTCCATTTAGAAAGTTGCTGTCGCAGGATATTTATTTATGGGAATGGTGGGAGTATCTTTGGAATCTTTAAAGATGGGTAGATATCACTTCCAAATGAAAGAAAGTCACATTAGATTCTATATATGCACCATAATTACATCTATTAAAACATAAACATTTTAAAATATATTTACGAACCCCGTGCATATTGCAGATGATTCCCGAAGTGCCGACGTCCAGAATCCTGCTAGTCCTGGCAACCTTAATCGCGGTGGTGGCGCTGATCAGCAGTTGGGTGCCCCAAGTGGCAGGCAGTCCACTTGCCCCCGCGGACACCGAACAAAGACGAATGATTTGCTCCTCCAATCTGAGTAATTGGATCCAGGAGATCTGCGAACTTGGCACGTTGTCCCACGGCGATGTCCATCGTAAGTCGATATCTGATTACGGAAATGGCGATTAATAATCAATAATCAATTAATCCATAGCCAACAGTTTCGAGAAACGCAGGAAGCGAGATGCGCAGTACGCCGCCGATCAGTGCTGCAAATCGGGAGGATGCACCTACGTGCATCTACTGCAGTACTGCAAATGATAATATTTGCCCAAATGGGGGGTTGAGTTGACTAACTCCTGCACTACACTACACTCCACTACACCTACACCTTATACACCATCCCACTCCATCATTCGTAACCCTTAAGATATAACGAGCAAACAGCAGTCTCCCTTAGAGTACACTAAGTATATTTTACTAATTTAAACTATACACTAACTCAATTCTGTACAATAAAAAAATTCAAATGAGCGAACATTCAATTGATCAAATTGCATAGAATTTCTGCGCAGTTTAAATAGGCGGTCTTAACTAGACTGCGGTGCGAATTACTAGATTTCTGAAAAATATAATCAATTAAGTTGAATACTCAGTTTCTATATCTTTTTATCCAACCTATGTTATTAACTACATTAAGGCTAATATTGATATCCATTAATGAGAAGTTGTGTAAATAAGTCCGAAATTCAATTGCCAATTAGATTTACAACACGCAAATGACGTCTTGTAGTACCTTTTACATTTTATTATTTCAATTTCCGCTACCGAAACAGGACCAATTTTGGGAAACTTTCATGCAAACACCCTCTCGCATTTGGGCACACCCCGTTTCATTAGACTCCTCTATTGTTGGCGTTATAAACCCACAAAGCGAAATCTATTCAGAGTGACACTCGACAAAATTGTCATGGGTTTGAGTTAGGGTTCTTAGGGTTCGGGTTCGCATTTGGGTTCGGGAGATTGAGTTTGGGTCATACAATATGCACACCCTTCGAATGGCCACCACCACCCCATTCAAATTGAATGGCGGGCGTAAAACTTTTGAAAAAGGACACTCGCAAGCTGGACAGCACCGAATATGGGGGTCAACTGATGATGATGATGAGATGACTGCAAATTAGATTACAAACGCTGACGACGATGATTTTAATGATGGTGCAAATCAGCCACACATGGGAGTGCGAGTGCGAGTATCCCTTAACCCCATTTCAAGCAACTTACCCCGGTTTACAAGCCTCAAATCTCCATGGATACAAGAAGTCCTCTCAAATGTACTCTATTCATGCTCTTGTTCTGGATAAAAAAAAGAAATCGAAAATTTGGCACTTGTAATTCGGTTGAATTCACATGAAGTGAACAGTTTTAAACATAGACACCCTTGCTTCGGGTTTCAGTTTGTCCAACCCTTTAAAATGCAAATAAATAATACGAACCGATTAAATCTCATTAAGAAATGCACCTCAAATGTCGCTTCGTTTTAGTATCAAAAATATTAATGTTTATTAATTTTACATTATCAAATCAAGAATCTGTTACAAAAGTGCTGCTTACTATTTTTTTTACCGTAATTAATTTAGAAATGTTTGTAATAAGAAGTAGCTGAGAAGATTTAGCACATAACCGGTTTACAAACTATTCGGTTAATCGAAGTGTGCAAGTCCCATGTATAAAATTCGTATTACATAAAAAATTTAGACTAAACTTCGAATTCGGCAGTAAAAATCCTTTCAACGTTTCATGTACAATCTGCGGTAGTAGAGGGCTCGACTTATGAATCCATTTTGGGGCCTTGCCATTTCACCATCGATTTTTGGGATCGATGGATCGCCCAGCTTAATATCACGTATGCCATTCAAGCCGACGCATTGTTCTTCACATTTGAGTCCTTCGGTTATTGGAACTTCATTGGTTTCGGTTGTGAACTTTGCAGATGAGGGCGTTGAGGGTAAACGTTTGTATATGGTCTGTTTGTAATAAAGAATATGAGAATATATTTTAAAATATATTTAATTTTTTTTTTTTTTTTAATAATTTTTTACCTGAGTCCAAGGAAGGGTCCATCTGGCATTGTTTATTGTGGAAAAATCCCAGCGCAGGGATCGCCCCATGGAACGAAGTTGAGTCATCCACAGATTTAGTTTAGCTTTGGCCATGTTAGCAGAAACGAAAATTGGACAAAGTCGAAAAAACTTATAGAGGAAAAATTAAAAAGTACGGTTTTGGTAAAATTTAGATTTGTATGATTTACGGTAAAAAAAAAAATATATTTATTTGCTGCCAGTACGTCTGTTCCGGATGCGATCAAAAATATAACTGAGCTAAAACGGGTTGAAGTTGGGCAACTGGACTTTGACAGTTCGATTCGTTTGATCCATGGCCTACTTTTTAATAAAATTTTCAAAAAGATATAAACTAAGTACTTCGGCTTGCTTTGTTTCGTTCAAAAGGGCTAGACACTTGAAAGGGAGACCATATCTTGAGGGAATTCAAATCAAGGACATAAGATATTTTTGCCATATTTCGGTGAAGAAAAGTAGTCTGAATACTTTGGGGCTTGTTTAAAATGCTTAATATTTGAAGAATGCGCTTTCATCAAAGTATTCCAGAGGGAAAGATACCTGATATTTGAAAGTTATTACCGATACATGTTAGCAAATTGAAACGGAGTAAAATTCTTCACCCAGTGGACATCCAACGACCACGTGTGGTGGGTTGGAACTTGTGGGTGGGTGGGCGTTGGATGACAACGTCTGGAAAACGGAAGGGCAGGAAATGGAGGGGGGGACAGGGGGGGACACGAGGAGGATAAACGACACCAGACAAACTTCGTCGGCCTTTGGTTTGGAGTTCCGGGTTCACCATACCAAAACCAAGCCAAACCATCCCCATGCACATCACTCGACATTGATGGAGCGAAGCCATGGAACATTAGCTAAATCTTACAGAGAATTTCGCACTACATGGCGGCGGCGGAGGGGTTGGTGAAAGGGTGCGGGGTGCGGGGGTCCAGGGGTTTCCACCTCCCAAAAAACCCACTCCATCCGCCCCTTCACGGGGTTGCAAAGGAAAACATAGCTCAAACATAGCCATGCAGAGGAACAAATTCGTATGAAGTGTCCTTAATGAACGATTTGCATTAAATTTCCAAGGTAAGCTTTATTTCAGTGATTTTATATAGAAAGTAAATTACTTATGGGGGTGTCTAAAGGTATCCAAAATATATTATAAGTCCAGAAGTAAGACGTTATTTCTTCATTACATACTTTAAGTCACCTCCAAAAGTTTTTTTTATTTTTTTTTTTTTATTTATTTAATATTATTTATTTGTAAATATAGAACCCGTAAAAACTTTAAGTACCTTAACAACGTACTTTTGTAAATTTGAACCAAACCTCATGCCTTCAGCACAAGGACTTTATTACCTCCAAATGTGATTTCAAAACCCTAGTGATTTCAGTGGCACCACGTAATATCTTTAATATGTAATGAATAATATCTCTGATAGATTTTCTCTCTGTGCAGGGAAGCGTTGGTCGGGGGATGGGTAGTGTCAACAGAAGTCGTATAAGGACACGTTCAACCCCAGAAGGGAACGGCAAACGGAAAGTACAGGAAAATCCCAGTCATCCAGGCAAGAGTTGCGAGCTTTGGTTTGGTTTGGTTTGCTTGGGCTCAACGATGGTCCTGTTTTTGGATCAGAATGCCCTCCTATTTCTGCATTCAGTTCACCGAAGGGTCCAGGGAATGTAATGAACCAAAAAAAAGAAATTCATCTGGGGAGCTTAATGTAACAAAATATCAAACTAAAAGGTAGACAATAGAAACGGGTGGAATAAACAATGAGCTCGGATGACTTAAAAGGCACATCAAAAAAATGAGACAGCAAACGTTAAGAAAACATGAAGTAGAACTGATCAAAAAAAACAAAAGTATAAATAATAAATTAATTTAAAGGGAGAACCATAAAATACTAATGCTGCAAAAATAGTAGAGAAGAAAAAATGGCCATAAAATAATATTTTAACTATACCAAATGTTACTTCAAAACAGATAGCATTATATTATTAGGAGCTAAATGAAAAAATTCTAAAAGATATTTCCAATTATAAACCCAAACGTATTAATTTATTTATGAATTTAGGTGGCACAACTCCTCCATCGCAGGACCTGCTACTGCTCGCGGGACATGAAGTCCCAGGGAATGCAGACGATGCCGTCGGTGGGCACCGACCAATAGTTGGTAATGTGCAGGCTGAGACCTCGACAGGATTTGACGCCACTCTGGAGCAAGTGGCGCAGGGCCACGACCATTTTGTCGGGAGTGACCGAGTCGTCCTTGCTGAGTCGCTGCAGGCCGAGCTCCTCCTGGCACTGCCGCCACAGCTGCCGCTCCACCTGGATGTCCCGGCGATAGCGGCTGAACCGGCCACTGGCCACCTCCAGGTTGCGGCAGATGAACTCCACGAGATCGGGTCCGGAGCAGTGGGCGGGGGCCAGGAAGAGGCCCGTCTGGCTGACCTTCGGCGCATCGCTGTCGGGCACCACGGCCAACTGGTGGTCCTGCAGCGTGGCCGGCAGCTCCTGGACACTCTCCTCCAGTTTCAGGTGCTCGCTCACCGCCCGTATCACCCGCCTTAGACTTCCCGCATAAGCCCGCGCCTCGCATCCCGGCTCCGGAGCTCGTCGCCTCTCTATCCGGATACCGAGGAGCACGGCGGACAGGGCCTTCTCGTAGAGCGGCACCAGACGCAGTTGCTCCTCGTGCAGGCGCATCTCGGAGAGGAAGGCCAGCCAGCCGGAGGGCGAGTCCCCGGAGAAGAGCATCACGTCGCCCTCCAGACTCATCCCAGTGTACGGGGCAAAGACCACAAAGCGATTCCGCAGAGCGGCCAGCTGATTGGAGAGCCCCTGATCCTGGGCCAACTCCTGCAGACTCCGCAGGCAGTCCTGATAGCGCTCCATATTGCAGCCGCAGTCGTAGCGGGTTCCTCGAATGCCCAGCAATTGGACCAGGGAGTTCTCCAGACCCTCAATCTTGGAGCGCAACGACGTGACCTCGGAGGCTTGGGAACGGGCCAAGGCCTGTCGCATCCACGTGTCCAGGGAGTGCTCCTTTTGCGGCTCCACAAACAGCTCCTTCAAGGCATTGAAGTTCGGTTGAACTGAAGCCTGCGGCGGTCGAATCCTTTCCCTAGCCGGTTTCAATTGCTTCTTCCTCAGCACTTTCTCCAGCTCTTTTACCATCTCCTGTCCCTAAAAAAAAAGGATTTCAATGAAAGTGTTATATAATTGCCCGTAAAAAAAAAGAATTTCAATGAAACTTTTATATAATTGCCCGTAAAAACAAAGGATTTCAATAAACCTCTATATAATAACCCAAGAAAGCCATTATTATAATTACAGATTTTACTGCAGTTCGAGATGATAGTTGTTCATCCCCCATTGTAATGCAACTACAAATTTTATACTTTTTATGATCAGTTTATGCTATAGCTATATATACATATGCTATATAGCTATATAGCTTATGCTATATACTCTCCCGTTGGAATTTTTGAACTCAGTTGTTCCAGTGAGCGGAAATCCCATGCGCCGCCAATAAAAAAAAAAAAAAAAAAAAAATGTTTCTTTTTTTTAAGACTTCAAATAAATGGATGCAAAGTTACAAGCCTAAAAAATAATAATGTACATTTACCAGCCCATTAAAAATTGTCAAAATTTGAAATCGAGAATGGGGGGGCCCTCTTAAGCAATTTCAAATATTAAATGTAATATTTATAGTTTAAAACTAAGATTTAAGAGGTTATTAGTTTAGATTGTTTCACCAGTAAGCCCACTTAGTAATTATTTACTGCACCTGTACCTGTTCCTTCTCCTGTTCTTTTGGCAGGAGCTTACAGGATCGCAGGATATTCCTGATCACAGCCCTGGGATCCAGCAGACTCCTGTCCACCTGCACTCTCACCAGACGACTGGCCACCTGACCACCGGCCTCACCCGAGCCCGATCCCGATCCCGATCCCAATCCCGATTCCGAGGTGATGTAGAACTGCAGCTGACCATCGGCGGGGAGACAACTCCCGGAGGTTCCGGTCAGGGATTCCAGATGGGAGCTCAGCAGACGCAGTGACTCCTCGTTGACCCGCTTCTCCGCCGGATTGCCGGTCAGGTGGTCCGTCTGGATGGCCTGGTAGAACGGACGGAGGGCTGTGACCAGGTCCGTGCTCAGCAGACGTCGACAATAGGCGATGATCCTCCGACGACGCAGGAAGCTCAGTGTGGCCATCGTTAAGTACTGCCAGATCGTAAGAATTTTGAAAACTATACAAATTGTGATGTTCTCAGTTTGTTGCTGACAAATTTCGCAATGAATCCTGACTACCGTAAACAAAATGATAGATTAACCAAAAAATATAATAAGTTTGGATCAATATGACACAAACAAAATATAAATTTTTTGGGAGTCAAAAATATAACAATTTACTGAAAAAATAGGAGATTATGGTTTGCCAAACGCCGAACAAAAGATTGCAAATACTCCACGTAAGAACAAAGAAGGTTCTTCAAATAATTTATACAAATACAATTAATATGTTCACATTAAATATTAAAAGTAATAAAAGAAATTTTTAAGCCAACAAGAATTTCATTTATATTTTAAAACTAGTGAGCGAGTTGGACAACCGCCAAACAAAAAATGCAAATATTCTACGTAAACATAAATGTGCAAAAGCCTGCACAAACAACAAATAAATGTAGTTTTTTAATAAAACATGAACTGTAGTTGCCCTTAAGTGGTAAAAAATAGCGGAACTGTTGCCCTACGGTTACCCATGTGTGAACGAAAACGAGAAAAGGAATATTGAGGCAATCCCAGAGGCCACATAAAATAACCCTCCTCCAATGCGTTGACTACACCAGAGAAGCAAATAAAACTTTAGCACACAAAACACGCACATAAAAGAACGTCGCACGTTAACCCTATAAAGCTGGTATTTGTTAAGTACAGAGAGAAATTTTTTCTTTTGTCATGCATGATGCTATGCGGCTAAAAGGGGATAAAAAATAAATAGATAAATTATAATACTGAGACCCTAGCAAAAATATGCAAATCAGCAACAGCAAAGTTACATCTGCGAAACCATTTCTTTCAAATTTGTTCAATTTTAAAGCGTACTTTCTTTTCTTGCTTTGAAGTGGATCTGAATAACGTAATTATGTATATGTATTTATATGTTTAAGTAGAGTTAACAGGTTAACCAGCTCTTAAATATATACATAAGTATATATGGAATACAGTATTTTAAATTATCATCAATAACCCTGTCAAAAATATATAAAATTCGTGGGGAGAACAAATATATATATAAGTATATATCAGGATCACCAGACTTCTAAAGTAACTTTACCAAATTTAATCCGATTCCAAAGTGGCATACCTCTAAAAACTCGTGATTCGAGTCTCTAAAAATCTGCATTCAAATTTTTCAATTTACCGTTTATCAAAATTTTGACCCATTTGCATGTTAGTTATTTCTAAGTTTCCGATGTGTTGTAAAATGGTGACCCACAATTGGACTTCTACATTCCATAACGTTACCAAATTTAATCCGATTCCAAAGTGGCATACCTCTAAAGACTCGTGATTCGATTCTCTAAAAATCTGCATTCAAAATTTTCAATTTAGCGTTTATCAAAATTTTGACCCATTTTCATGTTAGTTATTTTTAAGTTTCCGACGAGTTGTAAAAAGGTAACCCACAATTGGACTTCTAGATTCCATAACTTTACCAAATTTAATCCCATTCCAAAGTGGCATACCTCTAAAGACTCGTGATTTGATTCTCTAAAAATCTGCATTCAAAATTTTAAATTTAGCGTTTATCAAAATTTTGACCCATTTTCATGTTAGTTATTTCTAAGTTTCCGATGTGTTGTAAAATGGTGACCCACAATTGGACTTCTACATTCCATAAATTTACCAAATTAATCCGATTCCAAAGTGGCATACCTCTAAAGACTCGTGATTCGATTCTCTAAAAATCTGCATTCAAAATTTTCAATTTAGCGTTTATCAAATTTTTGACCCATTTTCATGTTAGTTATTTCTAAGTTTCCGATGTGTTGTAAAAAGGTAACCCACAATTGGACTTCTAGATTTCATAACTTTACCAAATTTAATCCGATTCCAAAGTGGCATACCTCTAAAGATTCGTGATTTGGTTCTCTAAAAATCTGCATTCAAAATTTTCAATTTAGCGTTTATCAAAATTTTGACCCATTTTCATGTTAGTTATTTCTAAGTTTCCGATGTGTTGTAAAAAGGTAACCCACAATTGGACTTCTAGATTCCATAACTTTACCAAATTTAATCCCATTCCAAAGTGGCATACCTCTAAAGACTCGTGATTTGATTCTCTAAAAATCTGCATTCAAAATTTTCAATTTAGCGTTTATCAAAATTTTGACCCATTTTCATGTTAGTTATTTCTAAGTTTCCGATGTGTTGTTAAACGGTGACCCACAATTGGACTTCTACATTCCATAACTTCACCAAATTTAATCCGATTCCAAAGTGGCATACCTCTAAAGATTCGTGATTTGGTTCTCTAAAAATCTGCATTCAAAATTTTCAATTTAGCGTTTATCAAATTTTTGACCCATTTTCATGTTAGTTATTTCCAAGTTTCCGATGAGTAGTAAAAAGGTGACCCACAATTGGACTCTGGAAAAAGTGAAATAAAGTTATGGCTTCTTTGTTTCTTAACATATCTACGGATTAATAACCATTGTACAACACACGGAGAAGAACTTCTTTGCACACCGAAGGAAATAAACATTTAACACACTCGTGTTCGAAAGTCTTTGAAGAGAGAGCAAAGAGAAAGGCGCAGGCAATTTCCCATTGCAGAGGAGCAGAAGTGAGAGCCAAAAAACATTAAAAAAATGGGTAAAATAGTTTCGCACGTTTGTTAAATTGGTTTCAGCTCGTTTCGCTCATTCTTTCACGGCAACGGCGAGAAAAACAAGGCGCACGGCGTGTTTTATCAATAACAAACCAATGGGCATTAATTATGGTGGACCTGCTGCCAAACAGGACCTGGTGCTGTGTCGTCTGCAACAAGATGTTGGCCGAATTGCAGAGGAGCATCGTCAAGCGGCACTACGAGCGCCTCCATCCGGACATGGTTCTCCAGCGACTGCCACGCCCCCAAAACCAACCCAGGCCCACAAAACCCCCCACCCACAGCTCATGCAAGTACCCCTAGAATAGGTACACAGAAAGAAAAATGTATATAAATTACAAGTAGGAGTGTCCATTAGTGTTTTCATTCGTAGAAGCCATGATTAAAAACTAACAAAATTTTCAGACAAATTGAATTGTATTCAAGGGTTGAATTACTATACATTTTCACTACTATACAATTTATGTCTATTCATATTTATATAATAATAATTTAGAGGATTTTTGTAATCGTTTTGGAAATGTTACAGCATGGCCCTTTCTAATAAAAACAAGAGAGAACGCTATAGTCGGGTGCCCCAACTATCAGATACCCGTTACTCAGGTAAAGGGAGTGCGAGGGAGATGAAGATAGAAACTTTGATCACGCATAACTTTTTAACGAATGGTCCGATTTGAAAAATTTCTTCTACATTTCGATAGGTATTGATAAACACAATAAAACTTCATTTTTACTTTTCCGAAATATTTAAATTTTTAAAATCGTATATAAACGATTGTGGGCGTTAAAGGGGGCGTGGCACCTTTTTGAAACAAACTTGCGCTGCGTAGGAACTCCTAGAATCTGCATGCAAAATGCCAATCTTCTAGCTTTTATAGTTTCCGAGATCTCAGCGTTCATACGGACAGACAGACAGACAGACAGACGGACAGACGGACAGACGGACAGACAGACGGACATGGCTATATCGACTCGGCTAGTGACCCTGATCAAGAATATATATACTTTATAGGGTCGGAAACGCTTCCTTCTAGCTGTTACATACTTTTGCACGAATACAATATACCCTTTTACTCTACGAGTAACGGGTATAAAGATATACTCTCTTCATTAGCCTATTCTCTATTTTCCACAGTGAGTAAATACATTTCGAATTCACTAAGACGATTTAAGGTTATACATTAATAATGACCAATATTGATAATATGTTTTCAGTTTAACTTCTCCAACTATAATCCAAGACTCTTTATCAACTCTTGACCAAATTTCCATTTCCTTTTCCATTTGTATGCACATACATATGTCAAATACAACATTAGGCCTTTTCAAAATGACAATTTTTGACGGCAAAAAAAGATCTCTGGTTACTTACAGATGAATTCTGTAAACTAAAATCAATTAACAACAAGAAAGGAAAGCAAACTTCGGGCGGAGCCGAAGTTGATATACCCTTGCAGAATATTCTGTAAATTATATTCTCCAAAATTATTTATATGATGCATTCTTAATACTCATAAAAAATCCCAACTTCCCAACTTTAAAAACACCAAAGTTATGGCATTTCCAATCGTTCAGTTATATGGCAGCTATAAGATATAGTCGGCCGATCCTTATGAAATTTGGTGGGTCGGATTGATTGGCGAAAAATTAAACCCATAGATAATCCCAACTTTCTAACTTTACAAACACCAAAGTTATGGCATTTCCGATCAATCAGTTATATGGCGGCTATAGGATATAGTCGCCCGATCCTTATGAAATTTAGTAGGTCAGACTGATTGACCAAAAATAAAACCCATAGAAAATCACAACTTCTTAACTTTAAAAACACCAAAGTTATGGCATTTCCGATCGTTCAGTTATATGACAGCTATACGATATAGTGGCCCGATCCGGCTCGTTCCGACTTATATACTACCTGCAATAGAAAGACAACTTTTGGGAAAGTTTCAAGCAGATAGCTTTAAGACTGAGGGACTAGTTTGCGTAGAAACGGACAGACGGACAGACGGACGGACAGACGGACATGGCTAAATCGACTCTCCTGGTGATGCTGATCAAGAATATATATACTTTATAGGGTCGGAAATGTCTCCTTCACTGCGTTGCAAACTTTTGACTGAAATTATAATACCCTCTGCAAGGGTATAAAAACTAATTTTGGAAGACAACTTGACTATTGGCATGTGCATGCCTACTTCTACAACTCAAAATTTGGAGTTTCAAATTTATGGCATTTTGAATGTTCTTTAAAAACAGTTTTGTGAAGTAACTTGTTGTGAAACTGTGAACGGCTTTCGATTCCGAGTAGAGCTAGAGTAACTACTTTTGACGGAGGCTTGACTGTAGCTAAAACAGCAGTAATAACTACCAGACCGCCACTCAAAGCGCAAATAATAAGGGTAAAATATTGCATCTCCGGCAGCTGCGAAACATTTAGCTGTGCTCCTCGAACACGCACTAGCCCCCTCTCTTTCACCCACTCTGCACCCCTCTCTTTCCATCGCCCTATACCCCTCTCTTTCACTCTCTCACATCCCGATGCAGTTGAAAATTACTTTTTGCATGTGTTTTTCAGTTTCTTTCTGTTTGTATTTTTTTTCCGTTTTGTTTGCTGCCCCGTTTTCATCGTTTGCCTTTTCACACATGCCACTTATTAACCCCAGAGTGGCGATGAGTACAGAAAATATTTATTTTAAATATATAAATGTGGTACTACTTATTATTCATTATTCAGACCGACACTTGTCATCCCAGGAATTGATCTACCTATGTTTTTAGCTTACCTATCTGTTAGTTTTGTGAACGATTATGAGTGGTGACCCCGATCTTTGGATGTCATTTACAGCCTTGACCTATAAGCGTTTCAAGTTTTAAAAGTTTTAGTTATAACACCGAATAACCGGATTATTCCCCACTTGCAGATACTAAAATGGGTCGTCACCGGCCAGTTGTGTGAGGTTCTGGCCGACGGAAAGAGATGCCGCTGCAAACTCTGCGAGAAGGTGTTAACCCATCGGCCGGGAAATGTGAGGCGCCACTACAGTATTTACCACCCACACGTCATCGTCCAACTGGCGCCCAATCGTTGGGTCATCGCCGAGGACAAGCTTATACCCAACAATCCGGTAAGTAGTGTATATATTTCACGGTTTATTAGCACTAACAGAAACGTCACTAATCGAAACGAAAACGAAACCGAAAATGGAGGCTAAAACTAGAAATAAGGGAGCCAATACTTTGGATATTACATTTCATTCTATCCAAATGAACCCTATTGCCTACACACGAAATACCCTAATTAAATTAAACTAATTTAGAGCAACGTTTATTCCAATTATAGTGGATTGTGCGCAATCAGCTGCATTTACATACAATCGTTGTGGATTGTTTCCATATCCAAAGCAATCCAACTGGGTTTATGCGCACCTTCATATCGCAAACATTGAGATTTCTTTTATAATTCCTTTATATTGTAATAGCTAATTAACAATAAGTTCCATATTTACCGAGTCTTAAAAAGTTCTGGGAGTCCTTTGGATCTTAAAAGATAGAGTGTACACCATACAAGTATATTTATAATTTAGGGTCCTATAGTTTGGGATGGGCAATGATGACGCAATTCGAACTTGGCTACATTAATCACGATATTCCCCCGCATAAACATACATAATAACAACGAATGACCCTCAGATGTTGAACCACAGCCGAAACGCAACAAAAATAACAATAGCAACTGTGCCGCCGGCAAAAACCGAAACCGAAAAGCAGACCGAAACCGTTTCAAACCGGTTCAAAACGCCCGTATATGTGAGTCTGTGAAACCGCTTTTTGTGGTGGTTTCTGTGCTCGTGTTCCGCTCTCCGAACCGCTCCTCTCTGAACCGCTCTCCTTCCCTCCGGTTCATAGAACGGTTTTTATATTCATTTTTGCGGTCCGAGCACGCAAATTCGATTTAGTAAACGAACGTAACTCAGATACGGCGCAGCGCATCGCAGAAACCGAAAGTGAAATTAGAACTTCTCAAACCGTAATCCTCAAGTCGGAGCAATGTCGAAAAAGTTCCCGAACCCCGTGTCCAAGCACTTCATCTACAGCGAACAGACGCGGAAGAGCACCTGCAGGGAGTGCCACTTCGACATGGCCGGTCGTCACTCCGAGAACCTGATGCGGCACCTAAAACGCAAACATGAGGACGTCTACGAGGTCGTGGTCGCCCAGAAACGGGCCATCCGGACGCTCCTCTGCCAACAGCAGGCAAACAAGGGCGATAACGTCCCATCAGACAGACAGCTTGCGACCCCCCTTTTGGAACTACGAGATCTTTTCCCACCGGAACACAAAAAAATACGTCTTAATAAGGTACAAACACAAATTGGTATTCCATTCTATAAAGCATTTAAATAATATCAATCGTTTCATTCTTCTTATTTGTATGATTTTATGAATCAGGTATTATTATGCTTGAGAGTTCTTAACAGTTCTTAACTTCTCTAAATTATATTATATTATAAGTACGTTAGATACATTAGGACTTTAAATAAGTATAAAGAAATTTATAAGATAACCATTAGAAGACGTACAAGAATCACATTGAAAATTGGTATTCCATTCTATAAAGCAATTTAATAATATCAATCGTTTTATTCTTCTTATTTGTATGATTTTATGAATCAGGTATTATTATGCTTAAGAGTTCTTAACAGTTCCTAACTTCTCTGGATGATATTATATAAATAAGTATAAGATCTTATAAATGATAACCATTAGAAGACGTACAAGAATCCCAAATAAAGTTATAAGGATCAAACAAACCAAATCTGAACTTCTTTTAATTTTTTTCAGGATGCCTCTCGTTTACCGACCAATAGTGCCATCGAAACCACCGACATTATGGATGATGAAGAGGCGGTTGACGGAGATAACGAGGACAATGTTTCTGGCAATCAATTCGATGGTGTCTTCAAATTGGAGCTGCCCGACGAGGAGTATCAATCGAATGACTCTGGTGATGGCGATCTGGAAACGATTAGCCCATCCATGGCTAAGCCTTCGATTTCCTTGAAGGCGGTGACCACCAGTTTGGCCTCCAGTACAACCTCAACCCAAACAAATGCTCCTGCTCGTGCTGTGATCCCTGCTCGGACTTCTTCGGTTTGTCCTATCGCCGGTGACGATGACTTCTACCTTCAATACCTGGGCAACAAGCTGAGCAAATACTCCGCCCGCACTAAAAACACGGTCCAGTTCCAGATAAATCGCATCCTTTATAAAGCGGATATGGGCTGCTTCGAGGACGCAGATCTAAAGATTGGCGATTCCGCCTTGTTAGATGAATCCACTTGACCTAAGTGTTATTAAGTCCTGACATAAGAATGTTACTTCTCGCTTAGCTGTAAATAAATTATCCCACGAGTTGTCAAACACCTAAAAAGCCACCGATTTTAAGGGGTTGCAAACAAAGTTTAAGGGGTGGCAATGATTGGTTTTGATTGGTACTTAAAAAGTAACATACAGTTGATTCAATTATCATGTTTCAAATTAAATAAATGCTTCAACCTAATTGGTTTTATATCGGTGACTTTAAATCAAGGAGGATTTTATGTATGAATAAGTTATCTATTATTTTAATGAAGGCAAAAATCATGCGTTTTGACTGTTTTTTTTCAAACACACTTAATCGATTATAGCCAAGTTAGAACATCATATTTAAATATTTCATATTGTTTATGAATTGGAACCCCATTATTTATTTAAATTCGTGGGTTAAATGTAATTCGAATATGAGTTAGTTTCAATCGATTTCCTTGCCCCGTATCTGTGTTAGTTAATCCTTTTTCTCATTTGACTCTTAATTCCAGTGGGGATATATTTATTACCTGCCAAAACAAAAAGCATTAAAATGTCCCCAAATCAGGTCACTTACCCCCTTGAGTTTGGCAACACATCGAGGGCATTCCGGCAAATCAGATCGTTGGCCCCTCGTTTTTGGTTTATGGGATAAGAAGTCGGTGGTTTTGGGGCAAGTTCAGTACCCGCAGAGGGTCAACATCTTCGAAAATCCCTCGTCGGGGAGGGTAAAAAGTGCGTAGAGTTGGGATTTTCGCTTTTCACTCTTGTGGAAAGTTTTCTTTATTTAGCCTTTTTTTTTGCCTTTTTCGCTTCTCATTTTCCCCGAGAGTTTGTACTCTTTAAAGCGACGGAAAGAGCAGCAAAAACTCTTCGCTGTGTGGGTCTGTATCTGTGTGCCGGCTGACCGGCTTTGTTTGTATCTCTCTTCCTGCAGAAACTTGGAAACGAAACCTGCAACGTCTGTTTGGACGCCCCTCCTCCCTCCACCGACCGACCGACCGACCCTTCATCCGTCTGTTCGCATAGGGGCGCCCTGTGTACTCGTAATCCTCCCCAACTCCACCTCTCGATTGTATATCGCTTCAACCAACCACCCCCCCACCCTCTCGACCCTATAGCAATTCGATTTATGTGTGGGCTATGCGTTCAGCGTCCTTTTGGCGTGCTATTTAAGGTTCATTACTAAATACCAGTGAACTTCTGTAATGCGATGAACCATCTGCCACTTCTTCTAAATGAATATGTGCGTTAAAAAAGGAATAAGCAAACATTAAACGCCTGATCTGAGCAGATAGTTAGTTAGAAGTTCATTTTTAAATACCAATGAACTTCTGAAATTCATTGAAAAAGAATGAAACATCTGCCACTTCTTCTAAATGTATATGTGCATTAAAAAAGGAATAAGCTAACATTAAATGCTTGATCTGAGCAGATTGAAATACCAATGAACTTCTGAAATTCATTGAAAAATAATACAACAATTTTAAGGTTCAGATTAAAAAAGATTTTGGATTTATTTATAATCTGTAACACAATAAGCTCTTTAAGTTGACTTTTTAAGTACTTCTCTAGGTAGCCCGCCCATCTCCTACTGTCATGGGATAAACATTTGTTTTTAAAAGCTTCAGGTGGTTAGTTTAATTTGAAACCAATTAATTTCTATTAAATATTAACCTTCGGCAAGTTCTCTTCCTCTAAAAGGGAAATCCCGAAAGTTATACAGAAATTCCAGGCAGAAAAGTTCAAAGTTTATATTATGGGGATGAAATTGTGTGAAGTTTGGTCGCTAAACTCTAATGCCACTCAATTATGTTTAAGTTACTTGAGATTTGAGTTAGGGGAAGTGCGAAACAGAAAAAAAATTGTTGTTTTGAGGAGAGAAAAATAACCTTGGATATGAAGGCTGAAAAGAGGGAGTCCTAAGATGATTGCACCTGCCTTTTTTCCATTCCAACACAGTTTTCTCTTCCAGTGCTTTGTTCCTCCTTCTACACACAACACACACACTTTCTTGAGTGTAAAAATAGCCAGCACAGATACAACAAAATCGCACTGGCAGGATCCTTTGATTAGGGTAGGAAATCCCGTTCAGGAATTAATTACATTTCAACCATATCTTTTCCAAGCGCAATTGAAATGTGCTTGCCACATGTGGGCGTGTCGCTGATAAGGCGGTCTTTTTCAGGACCCCGGGGAAAAGTTGAGGTTTCACCGGTTGAATGATGATGCCTTTATGACGATAAAAAAAAGGCAAGAGGAATCTGAGCCTGAAGGGACCAAATAAACAGCATGGTCAGCCATATGGTGAAACTGGTGGAACGTGGGAATGAAAAGCAATAAAGCTCCATTTTTCACATCCTTCAGTCGGTAGTGTCGCATTTCCAGTTCCTCACTCATTTTGTGGGGAAACTATTTGACTCATTTCGTTCTTCCTTTCATTAAAAGTTTAAAAATTAATCAGGGAAATAAAGAATTAGAGAAACACCAGCTTTTGTTAAGAGTTAAGACTGCTCGATTCAAGTTGCTCCAAAGGATCCACAAAATGACCAAAAATATCCCTACGGGGAATAGCAACGCCCAAAGAAAATAATTAGAGGACTCCAGCCATTGTAACCTTGCAACCCCAACTGTTTAACCAACCACCCCCCTCCCTTGTTTTTTCGCCCCACCAGCAAAAGCGAAAGAGTGAGCAACCAAACACCCCCGCCAAATGCCAAATTCCAAATACCAAGTCCACATCGACATCCTCATCCTCATCCTCGAGAGATGTGGATGTGTTCCTCCAACCGCCAGACGGATAAGTAAACAAATTCAGCTTTATCTTCAATAGGAAACAAGGAAAACAGAGTTCCCCGTTGAGGTTCGCCTTTGATATTTAACAATCTTTGAACAGCTGAAAGATGAGAACAAAAACACCAACCTCGCAATGGATACACACATATGCCGCACACTCACACAGATACACACACACACACACACATACACATAGAAGGAGGTGTAGTGTATGTGTACTGTTTGCAGACAAAGGCCAACAACAAGTTGCCATGGGAGTTGCCACCAAAATCTTTCGTTCGCACTCAAGGCAGTAAAAAACAAAAAAAAAAAAAAAAAAAAAGGCAACATCAAGAAGCGCAACAAGAAGCCGAGGAATAGCTATAAAACCAACAACAGTAACGGGTGTACCGAGAGCAAATGAAGTACAGTAAAGACTGCCATAAAGGATTCAAAATTAAGAGCTTTTTTATATAAACTTATGGTCCAAAGAAATCCGAAAATCTTAAGTACCTTAGATTTATTGTGGCTTAGGTATAAAATTGGAAAAGGATCTAAACTGATAGTATTTCTACTAAAAATCAATAAATTTTTTTTGCTTATAAAAGTAACGCTTTATAAGCAATCTTGACTGTACATCAGTCCAAATAAGTTTTCTTTTAAACTTTTGCTATAAGAACTAAATCATTAGATCTTTAGATCACTATATAGAAAATGTATTTTTTTAACCCTGAAGGGGTTGATCAACATTTTCTAAAGTCCTTCATAAGCAGTTTCGACTGTACGTCAGCCCAAAGGAGATAACGTTTAACGAGAACACCAGCAGAATGAAAGTAGAAGGAGCTTCAGGGACAGGAGCCACCAAAAAAAACAAAAACGGAATGGAAATGATACAGACACATCCCGCAGGAGAAGAGCTCACATGTGCGACAAGGCTAATCCCAATAATCTTTTAGTTTTCACAAAGATAACAAGATATAACCTCTCGCTGTTTTCCTTGTCCTTGCATTTTATCGCGCTGATTGATTTCAAAAAATATGTGGGGGGGGGTGCTCCTTTTTTTTGCTTGCGAGTTATGCAAACTAGGCACGAAACATAAAACATATGGGAGGGATGGAAATTCGGGATGGTATGGAAAATACAAGTACAAAGACAGACTGCCTGACATTTCACCCGCTGCTTTGGGAGAAATTTGCTTCACTTTTCTCCTTTTCGGCTGTTTTCCACTTTTTTTGTAAATAAAATAGATGAAAATCAATTTGACGTGTCTTGAATTTTGTTCTAGGTTTAAAGAACTCGTTTTAGAAAAGATAAAAAGGCGAGCAACAGCAGCGAAAAGGGAAGAAAGAGGAACGAGGGGGACACAAATGGAAATAAACTCGAATTGTGTACACGCAGAGCGAAAAGGGGGAAGGGGGGTTACACAGGAAAAAATTATACATGATTTTTATTGGTTTTCGGTATGAAAATTAGTTCTTAATCCACAAGGCAAAAGTTAGTCAGTGATGATAAATGGTGACTCCAACTTTGGTATTATTTCAAACAATTCTAAATTGCTCATTAAAAGCTCTGTGTTTATTCCAGTGTAGTTGTGGATAACCGACCGATACAAAAGTGAAGTGTGGAGAGCGGAATAATAAAGAACGCGGGGGAAACCTACATAATTCTTGTAGAACAAACACACGAAAGTACAACAAAATGCCACAGAATGTGGAATGCGGGGAGAACTTATCGAATTTGTCGCTTCCATCATCATTTAAGGGTGGCAATAATTACATCAATCTTTTTACCATTTCAATTCGAAAACAAATCGAGCCACTCGAACCCAACAGCAACAATGGAAGACGACCCCCCAGGGCAAAAAAAAAAAAAGAAAAAAACAAAAACGGAGGAAAAGCCAACTGAAGCGAACGGAACGAGAAAAGAAATGAGGCGAGAACTGCAGGAAGGTCCCGTGGAATAAATACACATTTAATATGGATTTGTCGGATTCAATTTGGGTCTACAAACAGTGACACATGCATTTAGAATCTAGATCAAGAATTTGCATACGCGCGTCCCCAAAATCCCGGGGAATTAATCAACCTCCAATACCTTTGAACCCATTCACAAAAGGAAGTTACTGGAAAAAACCACATTTTTTGAATAAATAGGTGGTTAGACCGAATACAATTAAGGTTTTAGGGAATCTAGACCTCATAGGGAACTATATAACCTTTTTAGAGGTAAACCCATCGTTAGCATATTATATATATTCTGAATAGTCTTTGGCAAGTTCATCGAACTATTTGCAATCCTTCAACC